TTCAATATGAAAGTTGGCTTGATTTAATGAAAAACAAAATTCCTTTACATAGATGCATGAACGGACATTAAATTAATCAATTAATCTAGACAACTTTTATTTTTTCTTGTTTGCAAATGTCATTTCAAAAAAAAAAAAACATTCAAGTCAATCAACGAGATGTAATGCAGCATGGATCTAAAAGGTTCATCTAGTTAATGTCTAAGGCAAACAGAGTGAAAATTCTAAAAAAAAAAATTCTATCTGTCAATCTGGGATACAATTCTGATTTTATTTGTTGAAAAGGCTAATTTTTCAATCCAATGAACTCGATTCGATTATTATTTGACGGTTTTTCAACCTTTCTTTCTCTTTTTTTTATAATAATTTATCTTTTTCCGGGTTTTCCTTAAATACTCCATAAGATGAATTCATTCATTTATTATGTCACCAAAAACAAAAATTAGTAGAATAAATAAGTTGACTACCATTAAAACAAAGAGATGAGACAAATAACGAGAATTTGTTTGAGCTTCTCATTCATTTAAGCACAGGACGACATCGACAACAACGATTCATTTTAATTCAACTAAATAGACAAAAACATTGTTTTGTCCTGAATTCACTGTTTACAGCCCAGAAATATATAAAGCTAATTAATAATTAATCAATCATTTTTATTTTCCACTATTTTTAGTATATGGACAATGATAGTCATAACGATAGCAACAACAACAACAACAACAAAATCTCACCAACACCAATTTTTCAAAATCAACGAGAATGAACAATTCTATGATAATCATCATCATTTCATCATATGATTCGACATACAAATGAATGGATATTGGTCTCGTAAATCACTCTTTTTTTGTGTTTCGAATTGCAAGTTCAATTATGCTCGTGGTTTTTTTTTCGGTGACTATTATCATTATTATCATTACTATTACTATCATTATTGTTATTAGTATTTTAACAATGTTTTTAGTTGATTAATGGATTAATATGAACATTGAATTTGTTATAGAATAGTAGATATATAATATATATAAAAAATGGCCATCATCATCATCACTTTTATCATAATGATCATGCGTAGATTTTTCTTTTTCTAATTTTTTCCATTTACCATTGTCAATGATATAAATAATAATCAATAAAAAAAAAAAAAATAGAATAATAACGATTTTTTAAAGCAAAGATAACTATCATTATCATCATCATCATCATTGTTCTTCTTTGAGAATAGAGAAAATGGTTTTATTTTTCAAGCTACTGTTAATGTTATCCATAAATAGTATATATTATGAATAAATTCTAAATCGAGTAAAAATAATAAAATGAAATGAGATTTGCTTTTTTTCCTCCTATTTTTTCTTGTATACTATATAGGCGTGGTTGTTGTTGTTGTTGTTGTTGTTATTTATTTGTCATTATCCCAAAAAAAACGATCATATTCTAACAAAAAAAAAAAAAAAAAAACAATAACCATCAAAAAAAATCTTCCATTTCTTTGAAAATGCCAATGAAAGGGATATCTAACGATATATTATACGTTTACACTATTCAAAGTTGATATGTTGCCCAATGGTGAAGACAGTTGTTGTCATTTAGTTAATATAACCCGTCATTCAGTCAAATGTGTGTGTGTGTGTGTGTAATAGACCAACAAAATAACGTTTCAAAAAACAAAAAAAAAAATAAAACACAAACATCAACATCAGTATCATCAACATCGACAGTATAGAATCTGAAATTTCCTCATTTCATATTTTTGTTTTTGTTGCTGATGTTTCTGCTGTATTTTAAAAGAAAACAGGATATGTAGAGATGGAAAAAATTTTGGCTAGTTCAATGAGAATCACGTTTATATGAGAATAAAATGTTCATCGTTGTTGTTGTTGTTGTTATAGCTATTGGTATTCTGTAAATAATGATGGTGGTACACAATTCACAAACGGAATTTTTTTTTCTTCATCCACAGCATGGTCTGTTTTTTATCGTGTATTTATTTTTCTCAAATTTTCTTCTCTATTCTAGCTTTTTTGATTCAATTCGATATTTTTCGTTATCGTCATTGGTTTTCACTCTTTCTACTCACTCTAATGGTCTTAGGCCTTGTGGTAGAACCGTACAAAAAAAAATGAAAACAATGGCTCATTTTATCGTTCCAGCTTGAAGTTTTCATTATATTTGCCGTTCTTTTTCCATTATTAATTTACAATGAAATTTGCCTTTTTCTCATTATAGCGATTCTAAAATTAAATTCAATCATAAACTTTTGAGTTTGCATATATATATAGAATTGAATCAAATTTTACAAATAAAAAAATAAAATAAACTTGGATAATTTGTTTCCTTCATTTGTGTTTTCTACTAATTCTTTGTTTATAAATTTTTTTCCAAATTGAAAAAAAATGGTATGCCACCGGAAATTTGAGCCAGTCGACTGCTTATTTTTCTATTTGTTATTATTCGGCCAAAAAACTGATTTTATTGTTGTTGTTGTTGTCATTGAAAACAACATGGAATATTTTCATTGTAATGTTAACGATAATAGCAAAATGATAATAATTTCAACAAAAAAAAAAACTTTTTTTTTCTATTCTTGTTTGTTCATTTTCTATTTGAAAAAAATGCTAATGATGACAAAAATGGAAAAGAATGTTTGACTTGTTTGTTTCGATTTGTTCTACTTTTTTTCTTTGTTAATAGTTTGTGGTCGCCGCTATGGTTGCTATCCATTTTTTTTTCTGTTCATACTGTTAGATTCACTGTTTTCAACTATATTGTACCAGCTTTTTTTTTCTTGGGCCACGAATATTTTTTTTTATTTTCGTTCTGCCTTTTTTTTCATTTCATTACTTTCGATGATTTTTTTTTTTTTTGGTTTCGTCATTTTAAATGTTCTTTCGTCATATGATTTTATTTAAGGATCCATACACATACGCACACACACACACACACACACACACCGTAATTGTTTTTTTTTCATAAATGAACAACTGTTGTTGTTTTTGACAACAACCAAAAAAAAAATTTACAAAAATAAATGATGAATGATTTTACAAAATGAGCAAAGTGAAATTTTTGTCATAAGAATTTGCTATACCAAAATATAAAAATGACTGTGTTTAATAAATGACAATGAAATGGAATAAAAAAAAACCGTGTGTGTGTGTGTGTGTGTGTGTGTGTGTCAAGAACATAAATGTATTGTATTTTTATACAATTACAATTTTGCTATTGCTAAACAGATCTGCTACTTCAAATGTAGCAATCAGAAAGTATCTGAAATTCTTTGAACAGGTAACAAAAAATATAACTATAAACTGAGAATAATAAAACAGATTATTTTTTGCAGCATATAAACAAACACTTATCAAAACTAATCAATTTGGATATAAAAATAAAAGGAAATAACTGAAATTGACTTTAAAATGTTGGCAACTTTTTTTCCTACGTTCAAATTGGTTTAAGCATTTTTTTTTCGTTATCATAATTATCATTGATTTGACAGTCGGTTGTCATTCTAGAAAAAACAATCAAATAAAAAGCAATAAGACAACAACAAAAAAAAAAAAATAAATTCCATGACTTTAACAAGGTCGAAAAAACAAAACAAAACAAAACATCCCAAATTCGATCAAATTCAATGGGACAGCGAAAAAAGATTTATATAAAATAAAAAAAACAGAATCATTCTCCACTATAGTCTTACATTTATTTCTCTGATCACAATTTCTGTATTGAAAGCAATAAAATACAGTCTTAAAAGATGAAATTGAAGTAAAAAAAGCATGCTCGCTACTGGACATGTGGACAATACCCATAGCCAAGATTGGGCGATATGAAACATAGAAATTTTATTTTATTTTATTTTATTTTTATTTGTTTGTGTTCGTCATGTTCAAGAAATGATGATGATGATGAGGATGAAAAAAAGAAAAAAAAAGAAGAATTGAATCTGATCGAAATTGGCAATAATCGGTTACAAAGCAATAGAAAAAAAAGAAGAAAAACTACTTTAATGTTTCAATAGACATAAAATGACGGTATAGAGCGTATGGTTAAAATGTTTCGAATTTTTTTTTCAACAAACAATTCTTCTAAACGATTGATTCTAATATTTTTTTTTCGTTACATTTTTGTTCATATATCAGATGGTTGAGTGTTCAAATCACGTCCGGTCACCAATATGTAGTGACTCAATTGTTGACTACATACATTCGAATAATTATAAAGCATATTTACATTTACGGTTGGCTCGATTTAAGGTTCATCATTAATGATGTTACCACGTCATCACATTCTATTATTTAGTTTCAACGGAAATCATTTGATTCAGTTCATTACTGGTTTTCTATTGTTGTACAGGATTTTAAATCCATTTCAATCTACATGATTGGAAAAACACATAAACACAAGACACACACACATACACACACACGCACACGAAAAATTGTCTAACAATTTTTTTTCATTTTGTTTCAATAGCCCTTTTTTTCTAGATACCCTAAAATCGCGACTATAAGACGCAGATATTTTTTCCCCATATAAATTAACTATTATGCATATGGATATTTTTTAGCTTTTTTTTGTATAAGATGCATCTTATAGCCGCAATTTCAGGGTATTTTCATATTCACCTATGGGATTTACTACACTCAAACAAACGAAAAAATCCATACATTCATCGTTACAAATTTATTCAACGACAAAAAAAATGAATGGATAAAAAAAAGAGAATAATATATAGTGAAAAAAAAAATCAAAATGCTTGCCGGAATCGTACATATCAATAACATTTTTACACACTAGCAAAACAAAACAAGAAAAAAAACCAAATTAAAGATAGGCCAATAAAAAACAAATAGTTTGTTGTCTGACAGGATGTTGAATTTGTGTTTTGACTAACGTAATCGGAAAACTGTTTGATTGTTTGTGTATTTATGTTTCTCATTTTTATTTAATCAATGTATGTATTGTGAATATTGTCAACGGAAATTTTGAAAACTCACCAAATTTATTTTGAAAAAAAAATTTAAAATAAATAGTGTATTCGTTTGAAACATAATATAAATATATAATATATTTTGTTGAAGTGGTTGGCGTCAATTATATATGTCGCAAATCTATGAATAATTTTTCAAAATTATCGCATACGTAGAGAAAATTTTGAATATTAAATTGAAAATTTGAATCAAAACGAATAGAATAGAAGAATAAACTGGAAGAAAATGAGAGGAAAAAATTATATGATGATGATGATGTTGGCTATAATAATTAATGATGATGATGATGATCATGATGATAAGAAATAAACTTTAAAAAATGAAAGATGGAAAAAAAATTATAAATGTGAATTTTTGAATTTTCAATGAGCACCAGAATAATCACATCAATAATGAATTTTTCATTACATTTCGTTCATTTCTCATTTTCGCACAAGTCACAGAGAAAGACGTAATCATCAAATATATGATATTGAAATGATGATTTTTTTTTCTTCAAATAATTTTAGAATGAAAGAAGGGAAAAAATTATTTCATCATCAAAAATACCAAAAAAAAATTTCAAATGAAAGAAAAAAAAATCAAATCAATATTATTCATGTGATAACGACTAGAATTGATGATTATGTTGACAAATACAATTCATGAATATATCAAATGCATAAAACATACACATACAAACACAATTCACATCACCTACACAAACGTAGATGATTTCATAGTGAAGAAAAAAAAAAGAATGAAGATAATAACCGTATCTACATTGACCATTAGAAAAATTAACAAAACCTTTCAAACAAATCAACCTGATGAATATTGTTTGATCATTGCATAAGACATGCAAATAATCATCATTATTATTATTTTAATTAGTTGTCAATCTCATTGATCAGCAAGCACATTTTCAACATTTAAAGAGAAAAAAAAACAACCAAAGAAACATAAAAGGCAGAAACAAAATAGAAAGATTTAATCTGATCCGTATATTCATTTTGTTATGCTAAACGATTGAAGAAAATGAATCTACCGCCAAAGTGAAAACTTGAACGAGGATAAAAAGTTTTTTTTGGGCACAATGATGCTGATTATAATGATCATGATGTTGATGAAAATGTGTATGTATGTGTGTTGTGTAGTTAGAAAATAGAAGAATATAAATGAAAAATAAAATCGAAACTAAACAGCCCGAATCAGGTCCCAGCCACTACTTTCTTTCTCTTTCTCTCTCTCTGTCTTACTATCTTACTATTGGGAAACCGCGCAACGCATGAACACAAAATATTTGAAAATTTGGACCCAAGAATATAGAGAATCTGTTGTTGTCGTCAGTTGTCGACGCCGAAATGGATCCTCGAAGTATCGTTGCTTCTGCTGCTGTTGTTGTTCATGTTGTTGTTGATGTTGATGATGATGATGATGATGATGAGAATATTGAATAGATAGAAAAGTTGTACGAGAAATAGAATTACGAAAAAATAGGGAGCTCGAGATTCAACATTCTTTGGAATCTTTTTTCTCTTTGTTGGGGGAAAGGAACAAGTAAACCGAACCGAATACAATCGAATGTCTATAAAATGTGTAGAGGTTCATTTCTTGAATGTCTGACGGGGCCTGATATTCGAACCGAAACGAAATCGCGCATTCGTCTCTAACCTATTCGTCGACTCTCCATAGCCATGAGGGTTGGGTTGATGAGGGTGGATTGTGAGGATCATCATCATCATCATCATCTCAACCCACAACATCTTAGTTCGTTTTCTATTTTTTTAAGATTATTTAGCTTGTATGACTGTGCTTTTTTGTAAATATATGAGACAATAGGATTCATTTCAATTCAGTATACCATTTGAATTTTGTATCCTTAGTTTCCTAGTTGTATATTTAGTTTCCTATTTTTATGCTGCTACCACACAAATATCAGAATAAACCAGAATATTTTCACTGTTTTGATAAAATGTCAGGCCATAGTCGAAAGAAGTTGATTCTCTTTTTCATCTCATTCAATTATGTGTTGTTCATTCTTTGATCCATCAATTCTTTCAGATCTTTGTCATATTTATTCTTTCTTATTTTTTCTATCTTGATCAAAATTTGTGAAAAAATTTTGTTGATACTTTAAAATAGTGAAAGTTTCAATTGTAGCCCAAAACAAAAATAAACAGTTCTTCTTTTTGCTAATATAAAACCAAATAAAAAGTAAACAAGACATGTTGTTATTTATTTTTGAAATTCAAAAAGAATTTCAAAAAATGTAAAAAAACAAAAGTTTCAGGAATATAATTATCATTAAAACAAAAACAAAAGAGACAATATTTGAAACATCGATCAAATTTTCAAATTCACACACACGTACAATGTTCCGCCCGTATATCCATATTAATCCATATTAACAAAAAAAAAAAAAAAAAAATAAACCAAAGAGTTTTCCAAAAAATGGATATACAAATAAGACTTTGCATGCTTGTTCCTCTCCACTATTTCAGAAGTAAATGAACCCCGAAGACCAGTATTTATTACACCACATTTGTCATTATCATCGCTTGTCGCTATCTAAAATGAATGGGGTCCGAAAACAATGCGATGACAAGCCTATTTTTCATTCTTTTATTTCATTGTAACTCTTGAAACACATATATATAAACACAAATGTACATTTTAAGCTATCATGCACGCTATATTTAACAATAATGATTGAAAATGTTGAAGAATAAATTCATAGACAAGCAGAAGAAATAATAAGCAAAAAGGTTTTCATTCAACCTCGAGATAGATATAGAGAAAAATTGGGCCAAAATTTTCTTCTTTTTTTCATACAGACCAAAATATATTTGAAAAATCATCAAAGTGTGTGTGTGTATGTATGTTTTTCTCATGCAACCCTTATATGATTATATTATATGATTCAGAATTCTTGTATTCACATAGAATTGTGCAAATATAGAATTAGCTTTGAATGTGCATATATATGTATCGGACCAATAATCATGAATCCTGCTGTGAATACAGACATTGTTAGAGTTGATTTGTTATGGCATAACAGTTATGTTATGTAAACCACACGTCTAGATCACGATATCCTGTCGTTAGTCAATTTTTTTTAGTTAGAATTATCATTTTGATCATTAAAGCAATAAGTTTTATCAGTGTTTTTTTTTGTTGAATTGATTATACAAGATTATAAAAAAATTTTAACCAAGACAAAAAAAATTTTCAAATGTTTTTTTTCTTGCTTCAATAATTGTGGCTTTATTCATGTATTAACGAGCAATGTGAGGTTCTCAAAGTTTTAAATGACTAGCTCTGCTAACGAATCGAATATGAAATAATGATTCAGAATTCAGATGGAGAAGAAAAATTAAGTATTTTAAACACTTTCAAGATTATCATTTAATTATACAGTTTTTTCAAATGTATAAAATATGTTGAATAGAAAAATAATAATCTGTTTTTCCAAAATGAAACAAAAGTACATTTTTTTCATATACATTGTAAATTGTCATAAGCATTCATTAGAAATCAGAAAACATCCTGTTTGTTATCATTCACATTTCTAGCTTTTACGACAATTACATTAATTGAAAACAAACATTAATTTGTTGGATTTAGATTTTGGAAAAGTGACAAGAGAAGAAAAATGATTAATTTAAGAAAATTTATCGAAATTGTTTAATTTAACAAAAATTTTGGATTACACGAATAAAAAAAAAAAATTCGAACCTTGAGGAAAAAGGTTTACGAAACAGAACAAATATCATCATCATCAAAAGAAACATAATACTATAAAATTAAAATAATCAATTAATCAATCGAGAAATTCACTTCTTTATCTGATTCATCATCTTATACATAATTTTTCAATAGAACTTAATGAAAAGAAAATGTCTCTCACAATCGATCTAAAAAAAATGCATACTTTCAAGTATAAAAAGTTTCTGATTTTCCAATCATTTACATTTACATCATCGGATTTATTTAAAATTTGATTTTGAAATTATGATAATGAAACGATCATATCAATTTTTTGTTCATTTGAAATTCAGTTTTTTCCATTTATAAATGAAAAGCGTCATTGTTATATCCGTTATGGTAAGACGTATGATTATAACGTAACATCCTCATTTTTGATGTCATATTTTCTGTCGATCCGGTGATTGTGGCAGTAGTTTAATCAAGAAAAAATTGAAATTTTGCATAGCGGAGTGAATATCAAAAAATATATAAATAAGTGTTATTTTGTTAAAATTTATCAAAGTTTGTTTCGAATTCATGATTGTTTGATTGATAGTGTTAATTAATAAATACGTCGAAAAAAATGTTGCCATATTTTTCAACCGATGATGGTTTTTCATCTTCATTAAATCCTGTGCCACCAATTGTTAATAATCATATCGACAAGATTAATATTCCTGAATCGTTTTTCATCACAGATTTCTACAAAAATAAAACGATATTCATTACTGGTTCAACTGGATTCATTGGTAAAGTTTTACTTGAAAAAATTTTACGTCAATTTCCTTCGGTTGGCAAAATTTATGTGCTGATCCGCTCGAAACAGTCTGAATCATGTCATGAGCGTTTAGCCAAAATGTTATCGACTTCACTGTTGTTCAAAAGTCACCAGGATAATATTGATTTAATCAAAGCCATTGATGGTGATATTACAGCTAAAGATCTGGGACTTTCCGAAGGTGATCGTCAACGATTGATTGAAGAAGTAGATGTTGTTTTTCATTCAGCCGCTTCAATCCAATTCACAGGAGAATTGGGAAAATTCATAAAACAAAATATTCAAGGCACCGATTCAGTGATGCGTTTATGTCAGGATATGAAACATGTACAATCAATTGTTCACGTATCTACGGCATATGGAAATTGTCATATGAACGAAGTCAAAGAAAAAATCTATCCGGTTGTTAACGATCAAGATGTTGAAGTCTACATCAAACAACTCATGGAAAAATATGCCGATTATGATCTATGTGAAGGTCATTCGGCCCTTCAAAACCGTCCAAATCCATATACTCTTTCCAAATCAATTGCAGAATGGCTTATAAACGAAAAATATCAATCAACCTTACCCATCATTATATGTCGTCCATCAATCGTAATCTGTTCGCTTAAAGAACCGTTTCCTGGATGGTGTGATACAATCAATGGTGTATCAGGCTCGTTCATATTGTTAGGTTTGGGAATAGTACAAAAATTCATTGTTGACAAAACAAAAACACCTGATCTGATTCCGGTTGATATGGTAGCAAATTCATTGATCGTTTGCGGGGCATATCGAGCATCGTCACATTATTCACCAGAAAGAAATGTTGTTCACATTACCACAAGTACAGTGAATCCAGTTTCTTGGAGTAAATTATTCGATTTAGGCATTAAATATGAAAACCGTATTCCTTCTATGAAACAGGTTCGTCCGATATCAAGGGATTATTCTAACAATTATGCAACATTATTCGATAAGATATGCTATAAATTCCATCAAATCATCGATCATTTATTATTTGCCATGATATTCGATCTGATATGTATGATAATGGGCCATAAACCATTTATGATAAAAATAATGCAGCGTTTTCACAATTCAATGTATGAGATGAAATTTTTCTCCTTACGACAATGGAATTTTGAGCATAAAAATCTACCATACATCTACAAATTGGTGAATAAAAAAGAGCGACCATTATTCAATTGTGATGTGACGACGATTGATTGGGAAGATCACGCTGGCAACATGTGTTACGGGATACGTAAATATCTGCTCAACGACCCCGATTCAAATTATGAACAGGCTCGTCAAAGACGATACCGAATCTATCTCGGATTCCGTCTATTTACCGTATTTAAATATTTCTTTTTTTATTTAATAAGCAAAAAATATTTGCTCGAAACAGTCTTAGGTGTTACATTCTATGGTCTATCATTATCAATCATCGATTTGGCCACCTATTCATATTTGATTGCCTGTGTATTCACCGCATTCAAAACGTTTAACAAACCAAAATCACATTAGTATTATAATCACATCATTTATCATCAAAACAATTTATTATTTAGATTATTTTCATATTTGAACTTTGATTATTAATTATCTGTCTTAGAATTAATTTTTCTATCAGAATAGTGAAATAAAAAATTCATTGTTCTTACATTCTTTGATTTAATAGCGATGCATTTCAATTTTTTTTTGCAAATATAATTATGTCACATTCATAAACTTTTAATGACGCCATCTATTGTCCGTATCTGCATTGATTAATGACAATAAGACAGGAGGCAACAATGATATTTGATTCATATTTTGGATGGATGGCGCTACGTTCCTCCGAATTTTTTTTAACTCATTTACAATTATTCATCATTTATTATTATGCCATCAATTTATCAGAAAGAATTTTTTAAATTTATTATTTTTGAATTTTTAAATCATTAAGAAATTTTCAATTGTCGATACTGAAGCAAATGTCTGCTAATTATGCTAGTGGACTTTCTGAATATAAGAATAAAGGAACCTGCGGTACAAAAGAGGTATGTAACAATTTATACAGTAGTTTAATGTTGTTCATTTTTAAAAAATTTACAATATAGTTGATCGATAGCGATAAAAAATTGGCCCGAAATACAAAAATCTTGGCAGAATGGATTCGTGAATCAAAACATTGTGTATTATTTTGTGGTGCTGGAATTAGTACTGCAGCTGGTATTCCCGATTTTCGGTATGTGCATGACATGTTTCCAAATCATGTTGATCATATTTTTAAAAATTAAAGTGGCCCGAATGGTATATGGACATTGGAAAAACGTGGGCAAAAACCGGATGAATCAAAGGTGAAATCATTTGATCAATGTATTCCAACATTTTCACATCGTGCCATCATCACTATGATCAACAAGGGCTTCGTTAAACATGTTGTTAGCCAAAATATTGATGGGTTATTTTTAAAGGCTGATATTGATCGTGAAAATCTATCCGAATTACATGGAAACTATTTCGTAGATGAGTGTATCGAATGTCATAGTCGTTTTATTCGCAATCGTCCAAGTCCGACAATGGGCTGTAAATTCACTGGTGATAAATGTGGCCAATGTGATGGCCTCATTCACGATACAATTTTGGATTGGGAACAAGAACTGCCTGATGATGAATTCGATCGTGCACAAATCGAATCTGAAAAATGTGATCTAGCCATTTGTTTAGGCACATCATTACAAATAGAACCAGCCAATTTGTTGCCTTTAGAAGTGCTTAAAAAATCAGAAATTCAGTCTGAAAACACTGATGTTTATGATCCGAATGATGATCGTTTGAATAAATTGGTCATTATTAATCTTCAACGAACCAAATTCGATCGTCACGCTGACCTTATCATACATCATTATGTCGATAAAGTGATGGAAATAATTTGCCAACAATTAATGATTCAAGTTGGTCCTTATGAATCGGCATTAGATCCAACAAAATCCAGTCATGATCTTATACCATGGAATCGAAAAGATTTTAAACCAACTAACAAATCTAGGAATGAATCATCATAAGTTTTTTCATTTGAATTAAATATTTATTTGAATAATTTAAATAAAATCAAAATTCATTGTTTTCTACTATTGATGAGATAACAATTTGACAAATGAAAAAAAACGAGAAAATTGTCGAAAAAGAAAAAAATGCACAAAAAACAATTCATCAATAACAAAAGAAAGGCAGTTGAAATAAACATAGTAAGGGATTTATTATTTCGACAATGGTCCATGCATATTATTTGCTCCATGATTTAGCTGATAGATTTTTGTGATGACAATATCACCAGTCGATAATGTCTGCGTGCCAATATCACATTTTGGCAACGATGATGATGATGACGATGATGATTGTGGTGATTGTGCTGGATGTGGCTCCAATGATAATATTGGTGACAATGATGTTTGTCCATTCATTTTGTTTGCAGCAGATGATTTTCGATGACAATGACAATGGCAACATTGTTGTGATTCTAGCCCAATGCCTGACGAATTGAATTCGCCCGAATGATCATATTCTCGACTGGATGGAGATAAACTGGATGTCTGTTTCTCCGAATAATAATAATCATCCATAAGGACACGATTTTCTGTATCAATATAACATTCGACATCAGAATCACCAACATCCGAATCACTTTCTCCAACACTTTTATTGTTTTCTTCACCATTAATTCCATTATGTTTGCGATTTTCAAAACGTTTCAATTTTTTCGCTACATTCATCGGACCTTCGATTTTATTACGAATTTCTTCAGTAATATCAATATACCTAAATAGAGAAAGAATCATTCAGGTTCATTTAAAATACTATAAAACTCACCTTAAAAGTCGTATTTCTCGATTACTCAGAACAATTTTTTTCTTATCATTATTAAACAATTTCAATTTCAGATCAGTCAATTCCAATTCAAATTTTCGCTGTCGTTTTAATTGTTTTATTTCATCGATATTTATGTAAGCGAAAACCGATTCATATACAAGTTGTTTGAAAAGTGGTTCATATTCTGTACGAATTTGACCACTTAAATTTTCATAAACAGTTGGATATAATGCATAAACTTCGGTAACAGCAAACTGTATCATTTCATCGATTAGTGGACGATTTTTCCAATATTTATAATCTTTTCTATATATCTTATGTAGCCGATCTTTTTGTTTGGGATTCAAATTTAAGCCACCATAAACGTTACACAATGTATAGAATGAAATATATTTGGTCGGTTTATATGCTGGTCGTCCAGTAGATTGTTGCTGTATAATCAGATGTGCTACCTGAGTATCGAATACATTTTTCAATGTAATTCCAAAACTTCGATAAAGTGAAACAGAATTCGTACGAACATCATGGCCAACTTTTACAATATCTTCAGATTCCAATAATCTTTTAAGGCCATTTTGTATCATGGTAGGATTTAAAAAAACATCGAACAAAACAATTTGAATGCTACTATTATTAGATCTATTGACAGTTCGTTTATATGATATTTGTATCAATGTAACTTCACCGCTCGTTCCCAGATTGACACCTTCAACATCAAATCCAATAACAGGACAATTTCCACCAATGGAAGAAGCAAAAATTTCATCAACAATCATTTCACAATCTTTATTCTTGACGACAATTCGTGGTTTGATTAATTGTAAATCTATGCTATCATATTGATTGGAGTCATTCTGATTATCTATCGATAATGGTTCATCATTGTTGTTTGGAAAATGGCGATAATTTTGATGATCACTTGCTAACAAAGATGATGTTGAGGGCGAATTATGGCATCCTTGTGAGACAATTTTAATGATTTGAGATCGAATTCGTTGATTAACAGCTGATTGTTGTGATGAGGATGATGTTCTTGCCATTCGACCATTGGAAGACGAAGATGATGAAGAAGTGGCTACATTCTGTTGCTGCACTTTTCGGCTAGGTGATTGCTGTTGAATTTGTGATTGACTAGAATATTGATCGGGTTCAAGTTGTATCTGCTGTTTTTTATCACGTAGAACGGTTAACCGTTCATTAGTCAATGAGACCATCTGACCTTGTACGAGAAATATCCTTGAATTCATATGTAAAAAGGTTATTAAATCGGTTGGCACTTTGATAAAATCATTCCATAAAGCTGGTAGTTGCTCCTTGGATTGCATAGCATTATATAATAGGTCGATAGAAATTTTATTTGAATAAGTTTCAGTCAGGCTATAGACCTTATCTTCAAGATCTTGAACCAATTGTTGCATCAAATATGGATCATGTTGAATTTCCTCAGGCATACGTCTTAATTGGTTATTATGACCATCTTGTTCTAGCTGATCAAGTACGGATTTGAGTACTACATAATCATCACGAACAACAAAAATGGATGAATATTTTTCTAGAAATTCACGAAATTCTTTAACATTTTGGCCTGAAACATGACGAATTTCGGATGATGCTTGAGACCTATGACCAAATAAACTTTTCAAAGGTACTTCAGCTATGCCATATGAGTTAAGTTTTTCCGTAAAGAATTCGGTTGTTTCTTTTGTATAATCACGCACTGCCGATCCATCATGATCGCTAATCAATGGTGTGAGTAAAACCTATATAAATTCAAGAATACAAGTGTTATCAGAATAAATTTCATCAATATTTAAAAAGGAACTTACAGTTTCACCATCGATAGTGAATAATGATGGGAATTTGAGCAGAAATTTTTTCAAACCAGCTTGGCTACCACCAGCAATTTGTCGCATTTCTTTTGTAAAACCTTTGGCTCCAAATTGACATGACAAATCATGTAGGGTTCGTGATTGACCTTTGCCGATCAGATGATCCAGAAAAAACATCAATGTTTGATCACGAATGACATCGAAATCTGCCATATTGGCGATAATATAATTCTGGTAAATATGATTCAAAGAGAAAATATAATCAAGATTTTCGAAAATGGCACTTTTTTCCCAATAACGTTGAATTTGGAGTAAAAACGATTTCTTATAACCACGAATTTTTTAAAAACGAAATTTTATATAAAAGAACGATCGATTTTCATATATTTTTAAAGCTGAAATCAAAGAGCATGACCGGGCCAATGAACAATCGATTTGAATATCAGACTTTTAAATCATGTCCAATGGAAGAATAGAAAAAAATATTCACTTTTATCACATCAACACACAAACAAGTTCGTTTCGACGATATGTATAGGAATTCGGGCTTATTGCAAATAGTAAAAATTAAAAAGGAAGACAAGGCCATGCATTTCAATCACAAACAATTATCGGGAAAAAAATATAAACAATGACAGACATGCCTGTCGTCGTCATTAGACATGGCAACAAATAAACAAAACAAAAAATAGCCAACTTGTCCACGATGATGATCACCAATTTTTTTCACGTAAACAAAATAAAATTCAAAATTAACGATCCATTTTGGATGCATTCGGCCAACAAAACGAATCAAATAGTGAACCTGAAACAAACGCACTCGCACTTTTTTGATAAAAGAGAAGTATCAAGGATGATGATGATCAACAAAGCAAAATTTGTGATTGTGGTGGCGGTTGACGACAATGATGATATTATTAAACAGAATATATCATCGTCATGATCACAATAATCATGATCATCAGCGGTGCGAACATTTTATTTCAATGTGTGAGTTTGAATGAATGAATGAATGGAGAAAAAAAATGCCAACAAGATGTACGTGTGTTCATATGTAATAACAGGATTTTTGTTTTTAAAATGATGACGACAACTCCTAATTTTACAGCCATATGGCTATAAGCCAACCAAGCCAAGATGATGAAGATGATTTTTTTTCTTTAGTTTAATTGAATATATGACGCATGATTTTCAATGAAAAATTCCAATTTCAATGTTGGTGGTTCAATGATATTGATTCAATTAATGGAAGAATTTGGAAACAGTAAATGAAAATTTGGAACGAAAAAAGGCACAATATACAAATCATTTTGGAATGCGTTGGACGCATTATTTTTGTCTATCAAGGTCGTCATCATCATTAGTTAATCATCATTTAAATTTGGTCTTCATTTATACACATATATGGATCAAAATTGATTTTGAAGTTGTATTTTAGATGATTTGGTTTGAATTATAATGCTATTATCTAATCGTAAATGAAGGTAATTAAATATTATGAAAATAATGCTGAAATGTTGTTGAACGGTAATATATTTTTTATTAATTTGTACAAAAAAAACGGTTGGGTAGCCGTCGCCGTCGTCGTCGTCATCATCTCAAGTCGCTAATAGGCCATGAACTTGTTGCTTCGAGGTTTCTTTGGCTTAAGCATAGACTTTCTTGTTTAGCATCTTCAAAAGCAAAGCAAGTTTGAAGAGGAAGAAAATGTTTTTCTATTTTTTTGAGCAACCACTATACAAATACACCGACAGGTAGCGAGTTGAGGGATTGAGTGTGAGAGCTGATAGCTTGATATATCGACAGAAAAAAGAGACAAATAAAATGAATGAAGGAATTTTTCTCTTTTAATACACACAACATAGACATGGATGTTTGAGACGACTATGACAACTATTTTTTTTCACAAGAAAAAAATTTTGCTATGAGAATGAGGAAAAATGATGAAAAACATTGATGATATGTTAAAATGTTTCTTATTACATACAAACATCACCTGGAAGTAAGTGTTCATCGATGCATTTGTTATATGATGTTTTTTTTTCTATTTGAATGCAATTATTTTTATTTCAAAATTGAACTTTTAGCTTGAAGGCAGATAGAGTGATAAAAGAGTTAGATATTTTGGGTTTTTCATTTTTCAGTCGTTATCGATAATGTTCGATGATTAAAGTTGAATATAATATGAAATATCGTGCGACAAATTTGGACATCTGAGACTTTGAAAAAAGTTTGAGCCCAATGTTATAATCATTTGATCGTATAGACTATCTTGATGATCGAATTGAATAACCGGCTCTTTAGTATTTGAAATTATCTATCAATCGATGCTGATGTTGTTTGTTATTATTGACAATCATGATGATCAATATACTACTCAGTATGATTCGATAAATAACACTTGTTTGTTCATCGATCAATACATCCACATCTTTGTATCTGTAACATAATTTAGAGCAACATATTTTAAAAATATAATCACAAATGTAACAGTATAAATATCGATTATAGTGATGATAAAAAAATAGACATTCAATGATAATAATAAAAAAATTGATCATCGTCATCATCATAAAAATATAATTTAATGTCTATGAGAGAGTAAAATGATTTGAAGATTGTGAAATTACCTCATTTTAGCGCTAATACTTAGCAAGTTATGATCGGATGTGGAGTAACAAAAAAAAACCGATGAACAATGACGATGATGATTGTGTATCGACACAAAATCAATATCAATCATCCAAATAATTTAAAATTGAATAATATCCGAATTCAAACTCAGCTGAAATATTCGTTTCAATATTGTCCTGTCATCTATGAACAAAGTTATATTGCAATTTTCAAATTTTCAAATTCGAAATTTTTTTTATGTTGGATATGCATGATGACGAGGTAAAAAAAGTAGAAAGATGGATAATTAGATTTGTAAAAAAATGATAAAAATAACAAAACAAACATAATGATAGATTTTTAATGCATATTTACATGATCATCCATTTATTCATTTTTTATATCACATATCATAAAAAATCAGTAAAGTATTCATAAATTAAAAAGTATTTATCATCATCATATTTTAATCGTTTATGTATATCGAATCCATATACTTATCATGATGAATTTCCAATCCAATTTAGTCCAATTGAAATTAAAGAACTGATTCATGACTTGTCGATGCTGTATTTGTCGTTCTAACTGTCGATCGTGCAGTTGGTGGTTGTGGATAATTACGATGATGTGATTGTTGATGATGGTTATTCAAATTACCACCAGATGATGAAGTTCTTTGATGATGATATTCATGAAATATATGAATCTCTTCCGGATGTGTTAGATAACTAAAACCGTTTGGTGGTACTTTCTTTGGATGATGATTCGATGATTTAGACACATTATTGACCAAAGGAAGTCCAACGGTATTGATATCTCCCCGCTGATTAGATGTTGATGGTTGTATGGAAGTTGACGAGGAAGAAGAGGAGGATAGAGAATTCGTTGCAGGAATCTCGGTTAATGTTGCCGATTGTTTTTCCACAGTTTTTGATGGAACAACAGGAACATATTGCATTTGTAGTGGCGGTTGTTGTTGCAGATGCTGCTGCTGTTGATTAGCTTGTATTGGATGATGAACATATTCCGTCAATACGGGCGTCGTATGTGATTGTGATTGCTGTTGTTGTTGTGGATGATTATAATGACTTGGTTGTATTTGATGATGAGTTTCATTTCTTTCGCGCCTTAGTAACGGTGCTTTAGATTCATTCGATTCTTGTCGATTAATATTTGCTGCAGGACGATGAATTTGTGATTGTTGATGATTCGGATAATGTGATGTTGTTGATGATGATGGATGTACCAGAATAGGTGTTGGTGATGATATTAAACGTTCTTCTTCATACGGATCATGTGTTGCTTTCACCGGTGTCCGTGTTGTAATAGCTTTGTCTGGTGATCGATCATTTCTGGTGTTTGTAAAATGTTGTGAATGATTATTTTGATGAACCGGTTGAGATGATATTTGATGTTGATTTCGGAAATGATCTTCAATTCTTCCATGACTAAAACAAGCGAACAATGTAAACACAATAGCAATGGTAATGAATGCAATACCCGATGATGAAAGTATAATGGCAACAATTATTGGCCAATAACTATTATTATATTCATGTGGATTATGGAAAAACATATTGTTCACATAGGTATGCGGTCCAGTAGATGATAGGATATAAACAACCAAACCAGAAACCAATACAATAACACCCAGACACATAAGTGTAGCACCAATACTACAATACATAAATCGTGTTCGATATTCTTCACTTGGGTCGATTATTTGTTGATCATCTTTTATACCTTGTTCTTTATTAGCCATCTTTTTCAGAAAGAAAATAACATAAAAATGATTGGATGGTTGATATGAAAAATTTGATTCCTACAAAATTAACAAAGAATTAACAAACAAATCGATTATTTATTTCTCATCGTTATAAACACAATAAAAAAAAAATTCAATAAGAAGCACCATACCGTTTAATGTGTTGTTTTTGTTGTTGTTGTTGTTCAGTTTGTACAACTATTATGTTCGAATGAATGAAAACGACAAACTATCAACTTTTTATTACTAAATAATCATTTTTATTTTGTTATGTTGTTGTTCTTATTGGATGAATAAAATTGAATCCAATTGTGAAAAAATAATAACATTGTAATATAACATATTATATCATCATCATGAACAAAAAATGAAGAAAAATCGCTAGTACATCAACATCATGATGATGATTATCATCATCATCATCATCATCCGTAGTATTCATCGACAAAGATGGAATGAAAAGAAAGTTGAATGAATGAATGAAAAAAAAAATCTATCGACAACAACGTAGGTATTTTATTCAGGATGACTATACAAGATTCGATTCGAATGACTATAATTTTGTTTACTGTTAACGAACCGAATTGGATGCTTCTGTCTGTCTGTGTGTGTGTGTGTGTGTGTGTGTGTGTGTGGTGCATATTACTTATAATGATGATGATTGAATACAACAATTGATGTTGATGATGATGATGATGATACAAACATTAATGGGTGGTTGATGGTTTCCATTTATAAATATCGTTGTATGTATATACACTCACACTCATACACACTAATTTTTTGGGCCACATTCATCATGTACGAACAAACGAAAGAACAAACAAACAAATTTTTATTGAAACTATATTTAGCCAAGAAAAAAAAATAATAATAATGATGTTGAATCAAATACGATCATCAAAAACAACTAAGTGAGTGAATGAAAAAAAAGTGGAAGGAAGTTTTAATCCGAATTTTTTCCTTGATGAATTATCAAGGCGTTAATTTGGCTAACTGGGCGTTTTCGATTCTCTTGTTTTAACATTCGATTAATGATTATTCGGTTTTTTCAACACATTTTTGACTTATCGACTTGTTTGATTGCTGCTATAGAATTTTTTTTTTATTAATAACAAAACAAAAAATTACATCACAAAAGATTCAATGATTGTAGTTTTATTCTTGGATGAGAGAATGAAAATTCACACAACTTTGTCATCATCATCATCATCATCATCATTCGGCACATTTACATAATAAAATTAATTAATAATCTTTGTTCTAAATTCATTCATTCAAATTACAATTTTACAAATGTCAAACACAAAACAAAATCAAATAAAAATTCATCTAGTCATCATTTGTTGACCGAATTCGTTACGTTCTTGTTGGCCATCGATGATTTATTTCGAACATATGACACAAGCGTTGTTTATTTCATTCGCATAGATTAAATTCAAACCAATTACTTTGAATGAATTTTTAAAAATCAAATATAGAGCAATGAACGAAAGAGACAGAGAGACAGAAAATAAAAATCGATGTTTATCAATATAAATGATGCAGATGTTATGTAGGAAAAAAATGGGAAGAATTATAGAATGATTAATGATGATGGTGATGATACTTGGTGGTGAAAAATTAATTATTATTTTTTTCTTTGATTTTTACTACAAAAATTAGTGTTCAATTCAACTATAGTTGTCATGTTTGATTTGTTGTATACAGGCGAGAAAAAATTGAATTAAATAGGCTGGAATTCGTTTGTTTTTTTTTTGAACGATCAAGTGATATATGCAAGGATGTATTAGTATTTTTTTTTTTACTTCACATGTTGATTGTTTCAACCAGGAGACAATGATTTCAAATGCAATGAAATGTTTTTAAAATATGAACAGCATTATTGCCTGGTAATTTTGTTCAGTGTGACTGTGTATGTATTGTGCAGCTAATCCATCCATCCATCCATTCATTCATTAGAAAAGTGGTGTTGTTGTTACGAAATTGAATACCTTGCATCTTTGGAGTGATTAATAGCCAACCATATGAATATGAATATTATTGAAAATAATATTTTATGAAGGACAAATATCAGCATGGGAAAATACACTGTAACTATTAATACATTCTCGAAACAATTCATTCACTAATTATGAGGAGAATTTTTTTTCTCACCATAGTTGAACAAAAAAGAATTTATCGTAATTTTAGCCAAGTTTTTAGCGGAAAAATATATTTTTGAAATCTAACTTATTCATAAAATTTGTGCCTATTGAAAATTTTCAGTTACAGCTGTACGTATTTTTACTCGTTGAAGTGTTGTTTATCGGGTGTGGTATCTTTCATTTTGTTGATTCGATTACAAAGGTCGCCAGTATTGAAATTGATAACCATTGTTAAGCGATACTGTTGGTTTTTTCTTATTTTTAATTCGATACATTGAATCTTATTTACAATTTCTAAATTTATAGTGAAATTTCTTAATGAACCAAGATGGCCGTCCAACAGAATGCACGTCTACTTTTGTTATCTAATTCAACAATGGCCAATCAGCCATATCTTCAATGGCCTAAAAAGTTAATCAAAGATTTTCTAAATGTTTCTCAAGTAAAAGAGATTCTGTTCATTCCATTTGCCGGTGTTAGTATTGAATGGGATGATTATTCGGATAAAGTTAAACATGCATTGGAAAATGATTTCAAAGTAAAACCGATACATCATTGTTCCAACTATGAAGAAGCAGTGCAAAATGCCGAAGCCATCATGATAGGTGGTGGTAACACTTTTCATTTGTTATATAAACTATATGAACACAATCTTTTGGATTCGATTAAAAAACGAGTACTGGATCCAGTAAAACCGATTCCATATATTGGATGGTCAGCCGGATCAAATGTAGCCGGACCAGATATTGGTACAACAAACGATATGCCCATCATATGGCCACCAAGTGATCTTGCTTTAAATCTGGTTCCATATAATCTAAATCCACATTATAACGAATGGCAACCTCCAAATCTCAAGGCTGAAACTCGTATTGATCGCTTAAATGAGTGCATTCAGATTAAAAAAAGAACAATTATTGCTTATGCTGAAGGTGTTGGTATTCGAGTGGAAAATGGTCAACATCAAATTGTTGCACCGAAATTCCATGATCATAGTTGTTTTATCGATAACAAAGATAATCGTATTGTAAAAGTATGGACATATGAAAATGACAAGATTCAAATCGATGAAATTCCTCTCACTGATTCGGCAACACTAAATCATTATGTCAAATGAAGAAAAACGAATTTCGCAAGCAATATTTTGTATTGAAATTTTTTTTTTTAAATCAAGTGATTATACATTGTCAAAAAATTGAAATGAATGATGATTATGAAATGATTTCATTATATTTTTTCCGTTTGCCTGAATAATTTTACAATAAATGATAAAAATGAGAAAAAATGGTCTATATATTTTTGTATCATTGTTGTTTGAATACACTATGATAATAATTGTATGAGAATTTTAATATGCAAATGAACATTAGTTTAGCTGTCGTTAAATATGGCCGATTAACAATTGGTTATTTACGCGGTATATTACTACGTTCACCACGACATTGTGGACAATACCATTTTCCTTTAGGTTTGGTTGTTAAATTTACACAAACAAAATGAAACCATTCAATTGGACATTGTGCATTGTCACAGCAAATCATTTCACCATAGGAAACTTGTTCACATAGACAATATGTTGGTTCATTAGGATCATATGCATCGTCATTCAATTGTGAATCATCATTATGATAGGATGCACCTGAAGAAGTTGCTGCTGCTGCTGCAGCCGCTGATGATGATTTACCGCGTTTTTCTGCTTTATTATTACCACCAGTTTTAATGCCACGTTTAGTGTTACCACCGCGTTTCTGACCGGATTGATGATTAGTGCCACGATCCTGATTACTTGCTACAGGTGTCGATGAACGATCATCACCGCTACCATAATCATTATTATGGCTATTATGCTTACTTGACCCACGACGCATTCGTTTATTAGTACCATTTGATGATTGATGATTATGGTGATCCTTTTCTTTTGAATGAAATGCAGGTGAGTTTCGACCATTCGATTGATTTTCATGATGTCGAGAAGCTTGATAATTGGAATTTTTGCTATTCGAATTAGAATAACTCGAACCAGTTGATCCGTTTGCCTGATTCGATTGATTTGACAATGTATTTGCAAGTCGATAGCTAGCATCTAATTGTCGACTTTTCAAATCAATTTGTTCGAGCATTGATCTTACAACATCTAATTTAGTATCGGATTTTTTTTCCAATACAAGTAGAACATTTTCAATTTTGTTCAAAATTTTAATTTTTTCTTCATTGCTCCATTCATTCTGCTATTGGTATAAAAATTCGTTACTGATATGAAAGATAATATCAAGAAATTCATACCTTTTGAAGATATTTATCTTTATAGTATTCCATCAATTTTGTACACTTTGTTCGTTCAACATCAATCATATGTATCTCAGATATTAATCGTGCCATATCGTTGGGAAAATTTTCAGTCAAATCAACATAGTTTTGTAAATACATAAAAACGGCACTTTCGGCCGTCAATTCAGCATTGGCCATCGTCTTAATTCTTGTAGATTATTAAATGGTTGGAATCTATTTATATTGTTTTTATTGTTGATCAAAAATCTTGTGGTGTCAACGTTTTTAACAGCAACCATAACATCTGAAACCTATTCGAGTTAAAATAGAACCAATTTTCAAATTTTTCAGCTCGATTATAATCATCATTGTATATAAACTTTGTATACAAAATTTTTTTGTTCAAGCATTAACAGATTTCCATCGAATCAAATCATTACTCCCAAAAGCAAAATTTTTAATTGAAAATGTAAGAAATTTTTGATAACATTATTATCATGATTCTAGCGAAATTATTTTGCCATGTCGTTTATGAACGGTTTTGAGCACGTGAGCAATAATAAATTATTATTCATTCAATGACGTGTTGGAATTCTAATTTCTCATGAGCAATAAATTGTCCTTTGAATATAGAATATTTATTAGTAGTATTTATAATTTCTATCTCTTCTGTACATTTCATGGTTTGAATAAGTTGCATCATTATTGTTGATTTGTCATTTCTATCCTAAATAAAGGTATTTTCCATTCAATCTTTTGATTACAATCAATGATTATTGTTGATTTTCTAATTTTTAAAGATGTCCGGGACTACTGTTAACGAACCGCAATTTGTTTCAAAAGGTAGCCCATTGGGTCCAGTTCATAATGATGGCGATCCATCATCCTCGTCATCAACAACAGCATCATCAACTGGATTTATAAACAATTCCAATGCACTTGGTATGGAACCATTGGGGGAATTAGATGGAGCAATCAACAATCTAGCCATGAGTGCCAAATATAATCTAACACAAATGAGTTTCAAACAATTACTTTCGGATCGTTGGTCTAAATTACAAAGCTGGGGATCATTTATCGATACCAGTCGTATGATATTACCGATATCCATTCAACAATGGTCAAAACGTTTAGTAACGAATTTTAAACATTTCCAAAGCAACTACCTGTTCGTCTTTATCATTTTATGCATATATTGTATTTTGACATCACCTTTGCTATTACTCGTATTAGCTGCAATCACCGCCGCAGGTTATATATTAACATTGAAAAATGCTGAACGTCCCCTGAAAATATTTGGAAAGAAATTGAATATAGGCCAACAATATCTAGCACTTGGTATTTGTTCATTACCATTGCTGTATTTGGTTGGTGCTGGTTCTGTCGTATTCTGGGTGATTGGTGCCTCATTATTTGTGATAACATTACATGCATCCGTTTATGCAATCGAAAATGGTGCACAACATTCACAACAATCAACTTCATCATTAGTCGAACCATTTGCATTCGAAATACAAAGTGTTTAACGAAAAAAAAAATACTTTTTCTATTTATGTTTAAAATTATTATTTTATTTATTGCTATTTTTGAAACCATTTCCTATTATTTTCGATGGGATCTAATTTGTATTCTTATAACACAAAAATTGAATACTGAATATAAATACATAATGTACATGATTTTTTCGTATTTTCAATTTCAATTTTTTTTTTTGTTATTGACTTGGAGTAATTTTTCGAATTTTTATTATTAATAGTTATTACAATAAATCTTACAATTCGAAAGTATCTGTTTTGCGTTGTGGAAAATAGATGGAAGTCTTTTTTTTCTGTTGTTGATGCGGCTGTGGTTGCAATGGATTGTGTTTCTGTCGAATATGTGTTTGAAGATTTTTTAAACTTTGTATGTATAGAAATATATTACCAATAATCGATATAAGCAATATAACGATGACCAAAAGGAAAAAATCACTCAAATCAATACGTGCACGTTTTTCGATAAGATGTATGATTAACATTATGGATATGGTTACCATCGGTATTAATAGAATCAAAGTGAATACGAATAGTTCGTGTTCATGAGCACGTAATACGAGCAATAAGCCAATGGAAAAAAGTATAAAACCTTGAAAGAATCGGAGGAAATAAATCAAAAAAAAAAAAAAAATCTAGGAAAATATTTACTTACAAATAGCACCGATAGATTCGGGAACTTTGCGCCAATCATAATCACCATAATCATAAATGGGTGATGGCCATAACCATCGTGTAAGGCTTGCAAAATAAAAGCCACCAGTAGCCATAAAACTGGTACTTGTAATTAGAAAATATTTATAAAAAACTCGGCACATAATGGTGGATCGTATTGTGAATAAATAAAAAAAAAGTTGAAAAAACAATTAAAATTTCAATTCCAACTGAACGCTATTAGAATAAAATGATTCTATGATTTTTTGAGAGTGTCGAGATCACAACCATATTGCTAAGATATATTGATTTAATTCTTTGTGTATGTGAATATTTTAGTTTGTCAGTGACAAACTGTCTTTCAATTCATAAATATAAGGTTTCATTTATGGAAACGTCAATGAATATAAAAGCTAAAACACATTGCATTCTGAATTTCGCTTACAAAAAAAACGTCCATAGCACATATACACATACGCTGGGAACTCGAATTTGGAGCTTGAAACCAGAACTTGGAAAAATAGCCAAAAACAAGCTCTGTTACTCAATTTCATTATATTTTATTATCATGTTGTTGTTGTCTTGGTGATGATCTCCTTTTCCAAGATTGATGACAGCGTTTCACCAACAAAAAAAAGTACGGCATTACATTGAATCGCATTTCAAAATCGTTTTCAACAGACAATTTGGCGATTGGAAATCAATGGATATGTTATTTATTTTAGGTCATTAATAATAAAATAAAAACAATATTAAAATAATAAATCAACCATTCATTTTAGAATGAATTTCGTTTACGATTTGATATACTTAAAATCAAAAGTTTCAATTGGAACAAAAATAACAGTGATAGGTGTATAATCAAGATAATTCATGCGACTAATTTAGCCGATGAATTCTTATTAAATTGTACAATTACAAATGGTTTTTCAAATGTTTCACTATTTCCGTTCTTGGATATACCATTTTTTATCGAATTTTTTACACCGGGATTGATAACGATTATTTTTGATTCATCGGGATCATCAACGGCTGTAGATGAAAAGGATTCATCGAATTTCATATCCAATGATGAACTTCTGTTCAGATTATGATGATGATGGTGAGAATTATGGTTAAGATTATGATTGTTTACTGGATCAATATGATCAACATCGAATAGCATATTTTCATGTTCATTTGATAAAAGTTCTGATTTAGAATCCGATTTATGATTTTTATAATGACGACGATTAATACTGCTACTATGTAATCCATTTGAAAATGGTGTTAATTGATTTGGACTACGGAAGGCAAATGTATCCAAAATGTTTCGTGAACGGCTTCTATTTCCATAGCTATTGCTTGCCGAACTATTCGATCGTCGCCAATTTGCATCAAATTGATTTTTTGTCTGATTTGGAGTCTGGAACCTATCTTCTGTAACTAGATTCGATTTGTTTTTATCTTTGAATAGAAAAGCAAATAGATTAATCATAAAATTTATCCCCTGATGTATACTTACCATTGGAATATTTCATCGTTGCCGTAGGTGTTACATGTTGTTCAAGATCATCAACATTTAAAAAGGAAAATTTATCTACAGCAGTTGATAGGACAGTTGTCGAACTACTACTTGGTTGATTTAAATTGGATTTGATTGTTCGATTGTTTGTTTGAAAACTTTGATTCTGTTCTTTTGAATAAGATGATCCTGGAATTACGGCTGTTGATGCAATATCCGTTTCCGTTGTCGAAATGTTCAAGTTAACTGTTGTTGTTGAGGATGATGACTGTAGTTGATTAGTTTTATATCTTTTCTGTTCCATTTGATTAATTCTTTTGGAACATTTATTGAAAAAATATGCAACAAAATACACAATGGATGAACCAAGACTAATGATACCAAATATGAATGAAACAATGGCCGTTAAGATATACTCAGATTGTGAGTCCATGTACAATAATATTCCTTGATTCAAAAATAAAAACAGAAAATCCCCATTAATTTTAAGAAAAATCATCATCAATAAACTAATAAATTACCTGCAATGATAAATAGGAATCCGATAATGAAAAGACAAGACATAAAATAACAAATTGTTTTCGCCGTGTCATTTAATGAACTAGGAGTGGCCACTTTCAATAATCCTTCTGACATTGGACCTGAATTGATACAAAGAATTTGTTCAGCCGCATTTTTACGGCTATCATGTAGACGATCATGATGCTGTATATCGATATTATCATTGTCATCTGATTCATGTTGACCATTATCAGTATTATTATTATTATTAAAATTGGCATCATTTTTAATGATATTATTTTTATGATCATCGAGTTCGACAACATCGTCGATTTCTTCATCTGTAGCATTGGTTAAATCGCCAAAATCTACACGAGTAATTTTATCTGGTATCGGAACAAGAGGTTCATCCCATAAAGTACGAGTTGCATCTTCAACTTGATTTGTTAGACGTTTCGTATTTGCTGATGTTGCCATTTTATTTTTTTTTTGTTTAATGTTTTGTTTGGTTTCTTTTAAAATGACAACCTTTTTTCACTATTTTTATGATGATAATGAAACTTGAAAATATTGAATGACATTTATATTACAAAATCATCATACGCGTAACCGAACTGGTGCAAATCGTAATGACTTTTTTGTTGTCTTTCGTTATACAATTAGGGTTGAAAATTTTGCAGTATTTGTTTCTTGATTAAACCATTATGACGTTGTTATTTCTTATGTTTGGCCCAACATGGAAAAGAAAAAAAATTATTTTTTTGAACTTTTTCTTCCATATACTCATTTCATAATAATGTGGCACGATTATAGAGAGTGGAAAGTAAAAAAATTTTTTTTTTGTACGCCGTGGCCGTAGCATAAACGTAACTTTTATTTTATTCTTTACTATGTATGTTTACAAGAAACCAGAATAAAAAACTTAATTGTTCACTCACGTATCCAAGACAACAATTTCAAAGGTTTTAACCAATAATGTTATTGTTGTATTTGTTGTTAATAAAACTCAATTTCTTTTTTCAAATGGAACTTTCAAAACCGGCACCAAAATCATCATTATGTATTTGAGATCCAAATCGACCACAATACTCTACCATAACCAATAACCGCCACCACTAACACAAAAATGATTTATTTGACTGTTGATGATCTTTTGAATTGTTCGTCATATGAAACCATAGGATTGAATCGATATAAAGTCCAATTTTTTTTTTCGTTGCCATTCACTGAATACAATGATTGAATGATCGTATGATTTTTTATTCAAGAATAAATAACCATGTATGTATAACAATAAATGATATTATTCACGAAATATTGGTTCAATTTTTTTTTGTTAAATTTTTGAATTTTTTTTGTGATCAATATATTCATAGGTTAATAATAATATTTTTTTTGCACAATCATATAGAAATTGCTCAATGAAAATAACTAATTTCCGGATAAGCTATAAATATACAGGTCATTGAAATCAGAAATGATAAAAGTTCATAGGTCACATGTTCAACATTGATCGACCTAAATCAACGTAAATCTCAGTGGAATATTTGTATTTGATTATTATTATTGTATTCTCATGTGATAAAAATGGTTTTTGAAGTTGTTATGCGCAGAATGTTTTTGTGTTTGCATTATTATTTCATTGTTTTGTTATCGTCCGAAAAAAAAGTTATAGGATATTTTCAAATATGAAAATAATATTTTCGGTTTTTGTTTATAATTTGGATAATAATATAATCAAACAACGTTTGTTTTGTCTTGTATTTTTTCACTGTTTGTATTTTGATAGTCCTTGTTATTTGTTGCCTTGGCTTCCAAATTCTCTTGTTTCTCTATTATCTCATTCCTATCAATGGAATGTCAGTTCAATGTTCCCCAAAAATAAGAGCTGTTTTTATGATAATAATCTGAAAATGTCAATAGTTTGGTTTTTATATCTATTTCTCAATTATTCATTAACGGCCGAATCGAATTCAAAATGGTATCGAAACCAGTATAACAAGAATCATTAAGCAAATCGAATTATATATTATTTTATTTTAGGCATCAATTTCAATCTATGACATAATATCAAAAATGATTTTGGCCGAAACGGATCGTATGTTTTTTCCTACTCCATTTCAACCGGTTAACTAAAGCTGAAACTAACCAGGATAGCAATTATTATGACGAATAACGATCAACGTTGATCAATACCAACAACAACAACAACAATAACAGCAAGTATCTCCAACAAATAAACGGAAAAATTCATTGGAAACCATTTGAATCGTTTTTTCTATAACGATACCGAAATGCATATGAACAACCATTCATGGTAGACATGGTTGTGTTTCGACATTCATTATGAATATGTTGATGGATGAATGCCATCATCCGTTTTCATCGTCATTCCTTCTCATCATTATCATTTTAATGTCGGCATCAAAGTTGATGTTCAACTCGTGATGATCATTCATTTGTCCATCGTTCATGTTTCTACGAAGTAATGTTAGCAATCCTATGTTTTGTTAACTAAAACTATACTAATACCTCTTTGACAAACTTGTTTTCGCGTGTTTATTCCCTCGCTCATTATTATCAGTATAAAAACAATTTGGCTTCCATTTTTCATCATTTTTTTCGGCATTTTCTTCTTATTTTTTTTAAAAAGTTAACTGGATATTGCACATCAATCTTTTTTCGTTTGTTTGAAGTATTCAAGTATTTGTAGTATTCAAATTTCGGTGCGATACCTACGCATCAGCAAATTTTTTTATTTTATTTATTCATTTTTTTTTGTTTCTAAAAAATTTTCATATCAAATTTTTCTATTGAAAACGGGATAGAAAAAAATTGATCATTATCACTGATCAATTGATCATTATTGTAAAACTGAATCATCAATGAAATCGTAATAGTCATATTTCTTGTATTAATCAATTATTTTTTATCAATCGATATTGCCTATTGAGATTTTTTTTCATATTATTTTCATAAAAATGAATCATCGTTCTATTATTGTGTTAACCTTGCTATTGTGTATGAAATTCTTGCATTCCTATGGACAATATCCTAATACTATTTATGAAGCTTCAAATAATGATGATGATAATTATGAATACGATGATAATGCCCGATACGGTACCGATGAAGATGATTACATGTCTGAAGACGAACCGATAGCGGACAAACGTAGGTCGGTTCGGCCATTACGATTGGATAATGATCTTTTGCAAGAACATTTATACAATTTTAAATCAAACGTTCTGAATGGATCAAATGTTTCAACATTAAAAAATAAAAATTTTACCTGGATTTTATTGAAAAATTATAAAAACGACAACGATCAAATTATTACCAAAGAACTAAAGCCTGCACCAAAATTTCAATCAAATCTTAAAGATGGTAATAAAAAGACAACCGAATGGATTGATTTAGCCGGTGGTATTCAATCGGATCAACCATCAATGAATGCTGACAATCAAACATCCGTTCCTAACGACAATGATGAGGGTGAAGATGTATTGAAAAAAGATGATGAAGAAAAAAAAAGAAATCAGCAATTGAATCCACCATATGATGATCGAAAAATTGCAAATGCTAAATTATATCCTGCCGATAAGAATAATGGTAATCAACATGTTGCTGTTAGTAATAAAACAGAAGGAACTGTTAGTCTCAGTAATAATCAGCCAATATTCTCAAATCCATATCGGCATTCGATGTATACCGGTGTTGTCAATCAGCCATATTATCCGAGAATTCAACAATCGAATCGACCATATTATAATCAGCTACAATCAGGTAGTAATCAACAGCCCTATTATTCATATAATCCAAATATTTCAGTTGTCGATACGAAACGTGATTGGACTTGTCAAATGTCATCATACAACAATTGTTCGATGATTAATGATCCACAAATTGGACCTTTATTTCAGCTTAATAGTTATAATTATTTTCCTTATCAATCGACATCGAAACCAGAATGGTATCTAGTATTGAATACAACTACATTTCCTGTAAATAAAGTTGGTGCACGTTTGATCACACCATACCTGCCACATAATCGAGCTTCAAAAGGTATGACAAAATATCGCTATTTTTCTTTAAATAATCGAAATTTCAATTAATTTAAAGGTTGCCTTACATTGAACTTCATAACCACCGGTAATGAACTTGAAAAAATAATGATCCATCAACAGGACATTGATGACACTTGCATTTATTCTGGTTCACTTTCATCTCCACTCAATAGTCCTTCAATAGATTCTGGTGCTCGAATGATTCCGCAACAATCCGAACGCTTAATTGAACATATTGTCGAGCTTACCGTTAATCTTCGCCAAAGTGATCCACGTTTCTTCATTGAAGTCTATTTGAAACGTTTGACAACACGACGAAGTAGTTTTGCTTTATCAAAAATGAATCTAGCTTATAATCAATCATGTCGAAATGATCAATCGAACAATTGTTTTCCAGCTGCTTATCCAAGTGGCGGTGCCGCTAATGTTAATCGACCGAACAAACGAGATCAAATACCTGTTGAACCTTGAACTTTCATTATAATTACAATTGATGTGTAATTTATTTCAATCATTTTGCTTAAAGCTTATTTTCGGAATTAAATTTAACAATAATTGAATAATTTGACAATGAATTCTTTTCCAAAATCATTTATTCACTGTTTATAACCGCAATAATTTTCGATACTAATTCGGGCCAGTGCAAAGAATCCGGTTGCATATACAGTTTGTATTTCGAAGAAAAATCGACTGGCTATTCTTGGAAGAAAATTCAAATGTATTTGTATGGTATTCCAATGGCCATTGGAAATTGGTCGACCACGCCATAATATTCGATTAGCCATATCTTGTTGCCAAATGATAATCTTATCGACAACATCATCACCAAACACTATATAACGTAATTTTAAACAACGTCGTTGATACCATGATGTAAGGGTTGAATTCGTTTGAAAATATGGAGTTATGAGACGAGCACCACGTTGCCTGGACGGTTCAATATTCAACATATAAACGCCACGTTCATCGCATAAAGTTCCATTGGCTATTAGAGTGAAATTCATCAATAATTTTTGATTAATTATACCACAATCGTCTCGTATAAATGAGCAGATCCAATTTTGATTCTCAACTAATTGAATGGGCGAATTTTTTTTCGTTATATTTGACCATTTGGAATCAAATTTTTGCAGCTGTTGTCTGTGGTTGGATAGTTTGTCCGCAACGATCGATAATGAAGATTGAAACATTGCAGACAGCGAAAATAGAAAAATGAAATTTAATTTCATGTTCAATTTCACTTGAAAAATTATCATCTTTATTTTTCTTGTTGAAAACAAAATTTATAAATGATGATGGCGCCTATTTATGGCCAATTTATGTACAAGTGTGTGTGTGTTCTGTTTATGAACGTGTTAACAAACGAAACAGTAAAAAAAATTACAAACAGAACCGATTTTGATTTTATAGTTTTTAACCATAATCATAAATGTAGATGTGTGTGGTGTAAATTTGTATGTATTGTATATGTGCTTCCAGGACAGAAAAAAAACAAAAACTAGGTCGGTTTTGTCAATTTTGTTGTTTTTCTGGAACCTTCAATATTTATGTAGCCAAAATTCAAAACATTTTTTTCTCCAGTAGAAAACAGGAAAATGCCATAAATTATGATTTAATGTCAATATTAAATCTAATAATAACAAGATTTGTAACCATGATTCTGGATTGAAAGATTCTGTGAATATGTTTGATAATGTATTGTTATCTACATCGTGATTGAGTACATTTATTGTATTAAATACATGATGACAGATGTCAACATGTTTTTTTTTCGTTATAACAGACAATACCTGATCGGTATGAAATATGTTGCTAATATTTTGACAGATTAACCAATATAAATGCAAGTGAAAAATTCTTGATATATGAAAATTATTTTCTTACACCGTTATCAATAACGTACATATCAATAGTTTGTCTTAATTTAGTCGATAACGTTATGCCAGAAATATTGCCACTCGACACATATTAAATACACTTTTCAAAAGATGTTCCGATACGTCTACCATATATATTCTATTATGATGGATGAGGTCATTTTTTCACTGGTTAATATTGCAAACATAAATAAATATTTTCAAAACAAACTTTTCGTTCTTGTTTTGAAATTTAATTTTGAATGTTTTTCCTTTTCTAATTGTTTAATCAATGTCGATCTAGTGGTTATTATCATTGTGTATATATTTATTTATTAATAAAAATATTATGAAAATTTATCAAATCATTATTTGGTTTGATAAGACAAAAAATGTATAGTGTGTATAGAAATCGTGATGAAATTTGATATGACCACAGATTGCAAATCATAGTACTATAGTATTAAGTATCAGAAATTCATTCCTTTTAAACCTTGTCTATGATGATTGAAAATGAAAATCCAAAAACATTCACATCAATATATGAAAAATTTCGTACTGGTTGATTGAAATTTTTTCAATAGTAAAACAATTATAAAAAATGATTCTAAACACCATTATTCAAATATTGCTTTGTATTTGTTTGATTGCATCTATAATAATGTTCATGCCAGGAAGTATATTGTTGGATGTTCGTCCCAAAATTTATCCAGCACAATTACCTGTTTCATTGGAAAAATTTGATCGATTAGAGGATTTAAAAGTCGATGAATTCATCAGAATCAATCTTGATAATAATAATACCGTACCCGAATCTATAGCCATGTATCAGGGTCATCTTGTTACCGGTTCAGCTGATGGAACATTGTATCTCATAAAACAGAATGACAATACGGTCCAACCATTGGTGAAAATTATTGATGATAAAACAATAGCAAAACATGGCCATCATCTACCCATAATATTGGGAATGCAATTCGATTCAAAAGGTGTTTTGTTTGCCGTCGTTTTGAATTATGGTATCTACAAAGTGGAAGGAATTTTTAAAATCACCACGAAAATGAATATCAAAGTAAGTGAAGTTTTAAGTGTCGAACAAACTCAAACATCAACCGGTGTGTTAAGTCAATTTTTGGATGATATTGCCATCGAAGAACGGCCTAATGGTGAACATGTACTTTACATTACGGATTTAAGTACCCGTTATGATTTTAGCCAAGTTGCATTATCGTTATTGAGTGTGGATTATTCTGGACGATTACTCCGTTATGATATGGCTGAAAATCGGCTAGATATTTTGGCCAATAGTTTACTTTGTCCTAATGGTATTGTTCTGTTACCGGATAAATCAGCATTATTGTTTACTGATTTTAGCAAATCAGTAAACAAATATTGGCTACGTGGATCAAATAGTGGAAAATTGGAGAAAATAATAACAAATCTTCCGGCCGAATTAGATAACATTCGTCCAAGCATAAATGGAAAAACATATTGGCTAGCAATGAGTAATCCACGTGCAATAAAAAAACCAAGTGAATTTGATTATTTTTTAAAAAAACCATGGCTACGTACATTGATTTTGCGAACATTACATTTAGTTGGTATGATATTCGATATTGTCAACCAAATCATTCCATCCGTTGATTTTATTGGTAAATTGGCCAATGATTTACAAACGGTACAAGGAATTCATCCTTTAAGTGAATTGCATATATCCAATGGTGGGATGATGATTGAATTTGATTCGGATGGAAAAATCTACCAAAGTATCTATACACATGATGAAAAATTGAAATTGATGAGCGAAGTTCGAGAGATTCCATCAAAAAGATCTGGCCAACGAACCTTATATATTGGATCATGGATGTTACCATATGTTCGCAAGCTAGTCATTTCGACTGAACCATCCAAAAGAAAAACTTTTAAATAAATAAACCTTGACAACAAAAAAAAATGATGACGATAATGATTAAAAAAAATAAAGCTCATCACATTTGTCCTTGAGACTTTTCCTTTTGGTTTCATCTTGATATTAAGGGTTTGATTTCCGACCTCTTGGGAATCATGTTACACTATCAAATGGTATGTCTGGTTTTTCATTCATTGGAAAAAATTTTAAAATGGTCGGTTGATTTTCTAAACTCTAGAAATTATTAAGACGGAAGAATTTTAAAGTTTTAATGTCTCTTTATTCATCGTTTCATATAACATAAATTATAATGATGATATAAAATTTAAAACATTGAACAAATGATGTAACAACGAGAAAAAAAAATATCAAGATTGATGAAATAGACAAAAAATTTCTTGACAATTTGTTTTTTCTTTTGCCAAAAAAATGAGATCTCAAATAATAAGTTGTTCGGGATAAATTCTATGTTGTTTTGTCTGAAAAGAAATAAACATGATTTTGAGATATTGGTAGCAAAAAAAATTTTTTTTTTTAACAAAATAACAAACTTCAGTAAATGAAAAGATGTAAAATATGACGAGAAAAAAAAATCAATTCTGAATAACAATCGTTTTAGAAAACAACTTTCTTTCTGAATAACGATAACATTTTTTCATTTTGTTTCTATAATTTTTAAAAATTCACCTTTAATCGATGATAATTTTATAGAAAAACAGAGACATGAATGACAAGACAAAATAATGGAAACTTTGCATATTCTGCATTTGAAATGTATCAACACATTAAAAGTATTCATTAGGATCAGTGTAATAATAAATCCAGCATTTAAAATGAAGACATTGACGAACGACTTGTAGACGATCCTCAACACTGGATGGTTCACCATTTGGTTTTCGTGCGAATGTCCAATGATTACGAATGTAAAGCGGTATTACTTCTTCAAAATTTAATACATTAACAGCTTTATCAATTTCTGGTAATGATAATTGTTGTTTATGTAAAAATTCAATAACATTGACCAGAAAATCTAACAAGTGTATATCGTCTTGTATAATGAATTTTTGCATTAGTTTGGAACGATTATGTAACATTTCTTCATTGATCAATACCAATTTACTATTATCTGCTTTCCTGAATGACTGAATGGAATTCTCGATGAACATTAACATCAATTCAATGTTACAGCTGGAATTGGAAAGACAAATATTTGATTCTAATGGAAAATGATTCATTATTCTTTCGATCATTTGATTGACAACATTATCGGCCAACGACTCTTTGATGGCACGGCAAAATTGTTGTGGTAAATTCATGTTTTTTCTATTGATCATCCAATATTTTATTCGATAGATGTAGTTTATTCTTTAATTAATTGATAAAACAGTCGGAGCACCAAAATCAGCACCAGGTCAAACACATAAGCGAAAATCAAAAAAAAAAAAAATGAAAAATAATCAGGAAGAGGATTTTATAAAATCGAAGAAAATATACATAATAAAAAAGAGCTGTAAAAATTTAAGGTCATGTTTTGGCAATCGAAATAATTGCTATGTGCCAATCAAATTAACGATAAACAATTGAAAACGTTTTAATTTTAAAAATGACTTTTCCATACCTACCAAGAAGAATATATTATGTTTATTTAATTCAAGATGAACAACCAAAATTAACGATTAAAGACTTGAAAGAAAATCAAAGATGTGATGAAAAGGCAAAAGCATACATAAACACAGACCAAAAACTTTGATCAATTTAAGAATCGATGATCAAAGCGATATAAAAGAGGCGTACATCAAAATAAGAAAGTCGTTTTATCGTGTTTCTTTAATCGTAAACGCAAAATGTCAATGATGATGAAATGCTCATATATCAATATCAAACTCATTAAAATCACACATGTAAAATAGTTGATTTTTCAATTTGGTTTTCATGGATTAGATTTGTAAAGAAAAACAAAGATATCGATACAATCGATAGCTGGCAAAAAACTATTATATATTATTATTAAGGCAAACGCATGCGTCTGTTTGCATTTACAGCTGTAATGTATTTGTTGTTGCTGCATTCAACTAAATTCAGCGGCATTAAAAAAAATTCGTTCTTCAAAGGTCCTGTGAATGTTTTAATCCGTGTTTACTTTTTTTTCTAAAGAATAAAAAAAATTGCCAGTCATATTAATTACCAACAGCAAGAATTTTATGTGACCTGACCACATAGAAGATTTGGCAATGTCAGTTTAAAAAATTGGCATTGAAATTACGAAACAAAACAAATACAAACTAAATTCTAATTAGCATATGTTAAAATTACAATACTAATACTGACAAATTTAAAATTCGGAGAACATTTTCAATTTTACATCTTAAATGTTGACAATGATTTTCATTCGTCATCAAAACAAACGATAACTGTTCAGCAGTGATCTTTCACAATTCTCCGAAAAAAAAATTCATTTGAATTGCTTATGTATCTTCGATCATCAATCGGTGATTGTTGATGTGTTTGTGGTAAATTGATTATTGCTATTCATTTTTGTATGTAAATGAGTAAATTCAATGACAAACTAATAATTCTTATTTTTTCTTATATATGTGTATGGGTATGGCAAGTAGTTGGGTGATCAATTTTGGCGACATTCAACACGTTTGTCTTTGTCAAAAGCTAGTTGGAGAAAAGTAATGGTAGATACATTCGTACTTTAACGTTGTATTATTATTGCAATACATCCATCAGTATTACCAGATTTTTCTAAAAATAAAATTCAAAAGGTTTGTATAAATTTTCATATGTTAAACCATAGTCAAATGAGAAATTCATCATTCTCATTCATAATCATCACCTATGTTGAATGATCATTTTTTAAAATTTTGTCAATTTCATTTTTAAACTTTTTGTTTAGTGATCGATTAATCGGGTATTTTCATTGTTGTAGTGGTTGTTAGCAAAAAAAAAAAAAAAATCCATCAAAAGATGTCTACATCGGCGGATAGCATTATCATTGAGCAGTCATTACATTCTGAAGATGATCAGGAAACAATTTCTGCTGAAGAATATATGCGTCGTGAAAAAGCAATCAAAGGAACCGATGAAAGATTTTTAAATGGTGATAATACTGATGAAGAAGGTTGGAGATCTGAAGCATTGGCCGTAATCGATGATATTCATACATTCGTTAACTTGATGTCCATTTCATCAACATTACCATGCGATAATAATGGTATATACATGAATCTTGAAACAAAAGAATCAATTCGTTTAACTATTGAATTAAGTTCTGCCGGTTTTCGTATATGCGGCCGTGGTTTTGATATTATAGACGATTCAAATGAAACAGATTCTATTGAAATCACTAGCCCCTCATCATCACTGGTAGATGAACCAGTTCGAATATCTTTGAATAGCTATTATGAGACTCCATATTCATTATTAGATACAATATCGCCATCGTATCGAAATTCATTCAGTAATGAACTTGCACAACGTCTAATGAAACTTTGTAAATGATAGCGAATTTAACAAAAACAAACGAACCAGCGATTTATCAGATTTTATCTAGGCAACATGCATGCATAAACATATATTTTCACTCCTCACGGCAAAGTTATCATCATTCATATTTTTTTTTTTTTTGCTGGCAGCTCTAATTTATTTTTATTATATATTGTTATTGTTATCGAACATTTTATTTTATTTTGTTGTTTTATCATCCTCACAATACACACAAAAACACTGAAGATACTTATACACAATTTACATCATTATCATCATCATCATTTATTATTATATTTTAATGTTTCACACACACACACACACAAACATATCTGTCAAATGCGTGTCTTAAGCAATATATGTTTGTTTAATATATCAAAAATTGAACCACCAATATATTGCATAAAGAAATCGACAAAATCTTGAATTTATCAAAAAACATACTGAACAAATAAATTCTTATGACGACGACGACGATGATGATGATGACAAAAAACACAAGTCTAAGGATAATGATTTTTTTACCTTTATCCTTATCGATAATACAAATGGCATAATGTTTTAGCTTTTTCTCATTGATTTAATTTAATAATGATAATGTTTGTTTATTGATTTATCATTTTTTTTGTCGCCCATATAGTTATGATGATGTATATTGTGCCATTATTCATATATATGTCATCTCAATTTGGTGGATATAATATAATAGCATTATTATTACTAGTTATTATTTTCATTGAAAAAAATTATCTTCTAAATAAATTGAAAAATTTCAAACAAAAAATAAAATATTGAAAATAAATTGATGACAACTGATGATGAAAATGAATGGAATGAACGGATATGGGAAACCGGAAAATGATGATTATTTATCGTGTAGATTTGCGCCACACTGATTTGATTATCATGTTTGTTTGTTCGATTGTCATTAACTATTTTATTTTATGGCTAGGCCCATCAAATTTAAATTGGTGCATCTCTTGTCTGAATTTTTCTCCAATTGTTTTATCATTTGTAATTCTTTAGTGTTATTATTTGAGTCAACGCAATAGAAATTTTCTTATTAAAATCCCGATTAGAATTTGCTTTGGACTAAATTTCAAAACTATTGAGCAAGAGATACATTCATAAACAATGTTACATATGGGGGACACGCCTACATACCTCCCCTTCAAGTTACAAAATCATAAAAAACAAAATTTTGATAAAAATTTGACATTAAAAAAAAATTATGTTGAATCAAGAAATCTGATAGGTTTAACAAAAAACTTTCTTAACGGTTTTTAAGCGTGAAGATAAACACAAATTTTGCTGTTGATAAATCCGGTGGTAAATAAATTCGATTTTCACTACCTCGGTATAATCATCACACAAAACAAGCTTCAGATAACATTATGATAATTATTATTTTACAATCACAATAATTTTCTAACATATTTTTTTTTGTATTCAAAACTGAATTCTCATCAAAATTTGATTATTTTTTTCCGTAGATTATGCAAGATTTTTTTTTCTCATTTTCCATCCATGATTTGTTAGATTAGGCAATAATTTCATTATATCATATCATCATATACAACCAAGCTACAACTAAGCTGTTGCTGATTATTTGATTCCTTGACGTTTGAAGGATAGAATTATATTTTTATTATTAAATTCCAATATTGGAATAATAATTTATAATAATAATTCTATAGATCGAATTCGATCAATGACACTTACACATACAAATTGGCATCAATGAATCATTTTAACGGTGATCCTGGACACAATTTCCGAGAGACATTGATGTTTTAAATCAATAAACAACAACCATACATAATTCCCTTTTATGTTACGCACGTATGGATCATTTTATTGATATTGGTTCACTTGCTCTTTATTGTATGAGCAAACGTTTTAATTTTACCCCAACAGGAACCATATCGTAAGTTTTACCTGAAACAATTTCTTGTCTCGTTACAGACGACGTCAATGGACGATCATTTCATGGAAATTTATTTCTGGTCGCAATTTTTGATTATTCTGTTTTTATGGAAAATCCATCTATTTTATCGTATGATTTTGAACGTATCGTAAATGCCTCCGTAGTCGATACCGACTATGATGTTTCATCTATCCGGACAGACCATCGATCTGTGATATTTGCCAAGGATGCTGTTTTGTGTCTGGCACGGCATGGCATAAAATCTGGTTTTATTTCTTCTGAATTGCCATTGCAACATGGTCTTGTGGATTTATTGATACGAAAATTGCGAGCCAACCAATATTATTATTCTCGTCAAAATTGTTTGCTCTTCATGGTATAACAATCAACAATCATATGATCATTTCAAATTATTATTTTTCTATCGAGCAAAATTTTGGACGACGAATTTATTTAACGAATTTCCGTATTTTCACATTTATTGAATATTCCACGAACAATCGTGATGAAAACATTGTTAAATCAGTGAAAATCAAGTTTCTAATGATCGGATATTTTATCGAAAATTATTCATGTTATCGTTATTATCGACGCATTGAGCTATCCGATCCTATCACTATTTATGAAAAGTCTCATGGAAGTCGTCACATCAATCGTATTTAAAGAAATTTACCGATTTTACAGCTATCAATGCTCTTTATCGTTTTAAGGTAAATATTCCCGAAATCAATGTCGATAATGGTGGAAGAAACAACGTAAAGATTATCACCATCGATTCCGGTGGAAGCGTTTTGAATTTTCTCGACACAAATTGTGGTGGAAGCAGCATATCTTTAATTTTCGAAAAGTTTTCTGGTACTGGCAATTTGATCATTGCTCAAATTATTTATGAACAGTCTTATAGACGTTTACCAGCAGCTGCTAAGTTCATCCGTAGACAAAACGACATATTTTTAGCATCATTTGAAAGAAGTCTACTGACCACCGATCATGTATTGTCAAATTATTCACCATTACTATTCGACATAGCTGGTAAAATCGCAAAACCAAGATTGGTTGACCCACCACCAAATGAAATTATTGTATCACGTAAACGGGTTAACTTGAAGATTCGATTGTATCGAACCATACGATTTGATGATTTGATCATATCTCAAATTTTTAAATTAATTATCGTTTTTATCGTCTTTAATTATTTCGTAAAATATTTATTTGATCCTTTAGACGAAACCTTTTATTGGTTGAATTTAACCTACGAAGTAGATTTACGTTTGTATTTAGTTTCATTTGATCATATCGTATCTGTCCTACAAACTTTGAACAAACCAAAATGGTACAATTTTATCTCTTATTTGGACGTATTGATCAATTTCTACAAATCTACTTCGATTGGACGAAACCGATTACAAAATACCTTGGATTATGAAAATATCCGTATTAAGTTATATTTATTGTTCATCAAGCGATTGATATTCGCACGCATCGTTTTACTCGTTCATTTTCTGCTCAACATTTTGGTCAATATCAAAACAGTAAAACGATTATATCAATATTTTGATTGGATTTCAATTGAACTTCTGGATTTATTATCGATGGATTACTTGGTATCATTGAAGCCCATTTCCATGGCATTTAAATTATTGGTCCTTTCATTTGTGGACATATTCCTTCATCATATCCATCGTTACAACATTCAATTTGCTTTTGACCACATCTTTATTTCCAGAAGCTGCATGACCATTCGTCAATCGGGTGGAAGTGTTAGAGAAAACGATAGACGATGTCTTATGTTTGAACTATGTCATTTAACATCTATGATTGAACCTTAATCATTTTAGATTGAACATGCTTATAAAAACGCATACACCAATTGTAATTAGAGGCAGATGTACATAGTGACACATACACTCTCATTCGTTACACACTTTCCAGATAACATTATGATAATTATTATTTTACAATCACAATAATTTTCTAACATATTTTTTTTTGTATTCAAAACTGAATTCTCATCAAAATTTGATTATTTTTTTCCGTAGATTATGCAAGATTTTTTTTTCTCATTTTCCATCCATGATTTGTTAGATTAGGCAATAATTTCATTATATCATATCATCATATACAACCAAGCTACAACTAAGCTGTTGCTGATTATTTGATTCCTTTTTTTGAAGGATAGAATTATATTTTTATTATTAAATTCCAATATTGGAATAATAATTTATAATAATAATTCTATAGATCGAATTCGATCAATGACACTTACACATACAAAAAAAAAACTTTTATGTTACGCACGTATGGATCGTTTTCACTCGTTCAAATGACATGTTTGATAGGATTGGTTAGTAACAAGAATTAAGAAGAAGAAGAAGAAGAAAAAAGCTTTTTATACCATAATGATGATACTAATTTATTCATAACCCTATAGGGTGATGAATGAAATAATAATAAAAACTATAAAGTAGAACAAACACAACGACAACATCATCATCATTTCTGGAATGAATCAGTGTAAAATATATAAAATATAAAAAATAGAAAAATGATGGTACCAGTACCAGAAACTGATGTTTTTTTGTGGATGAAATTTTTATTTTGGTTTAAACAAAAAAAAAATTCTCCATGTCTTGACGGCTGTTGCTGTTGCACTGGGTGTCTCTTCCGTTTTAGATGATAAAATAATGGGGATATAAATTTGACAGTCCAATTTTTTTTATTGTTTTTTTTTCACTATGATCGACATTATCATAATTGTTACTGTCATCATTTTTTTTTTTGTTAAAAGAACAGAATTGATATGATTAGTGTAAGCAACAACAAAAACAACAACAACAACAACAACAAAATCCAGAATGTAAATTTTTGTTCTCCATATATGGCAACAAAAAAACATGAGAAAAAAATCCAGTAAATTCCAAAAATGAAATATATTTTCCTAAAATTTTATTTACTGAGCCATAGAGTATGTAAACGGTATGCAAACATTTCGAATATTTGTCATTATTCATTATTATTATTATTATTATCTTCATACAAAAAAAAAACGAGGATTAAAGAATCTGGACTAACAAAGAAAAAAGAAAAACATAATAACAATTTTAAATCTCTGTTTGCTAAAAATGAAAAAAAAAATTCAAGGATTCTATCGAATTCTTTTGGATTCTCTTTACATACATACATGACAATATATGTAACATCATCATTGTCATTATTCTTTATATTACATTTCATTGTTGATTAAATTTTGTAATTCAAGAGACAAATTCATTTCATTATACAATTTAATATGGATATATACAAAAGAAAAAACTTTCAATTATTCATTAGTGATTCTTTTTTGTATGGTAATAATCATCATTCTAATTACAACGATGAAGCAATGATGATGTAACTTGGAAAAAAAATGGTATGATACATTATAATGCATAGAATTTTTTTTTTAGTTCAACAGAAATATTGTATATTTTTCAAAATGGTATGAAAATAGTTCGAAATGAAGAAAGAAAAAAAATTATTATAAATTACGTTCGAAAATGTGTCCATTAAACCATTTGATGGTAGAAAAAAATAAAATAAATTTCTTGCTGAATGGAAAAATCTTTTTCTTGTTTTTTCGCATAATAATTTTTTTCCGCTGTATAATCCACAAATTTTACGATCATCATTTTATAAGTATGTAAAATATTCGTATATTCTTTTTTTTTCTTCCGTAAATTTGACGATTTTGCCAAAAGAATAATAACAAGAAAAAAAATATTATCATACAAAAAAACGAATACAACAATTCCACAATTCTCATTGGAGATCAATTTTTCAATTTTTCAAATTACATATTCCACTAATGTGTAGTATTTTTGTATTTCAAATGTCAGAATATGAAATGAGAATTTTACGGCTTGGAAAAAAAATTAATTCTATTCTATTCAATAGTAAACGATTGTTTTGGATATTTAAAACCCTTATTAGATGATAGGTGTCGCCAGTTTCGATTATTTTGTTGTTTTTTTTATTTTTTGCTGAGAAATTCAATTTTCCAATATTGAACTTTAATGATTCAGATGGAAAGAGAATTTTTATAATAACTACTAAAATTGAATTAAAAGGTATGAAAAGTCAATTAACTGTTTATAACTTTAAAAATAAAAATTGGATTTGAATTAAATAAAATCGATGGATAAATAATTGGACAACGTTGATTCCATAAGATTGGATAGAAAATTAGAATAAACCAATTCAAATACTGGAAAGCATAAACATTCGGTATATTAAATTTTTTTTTGTTTGATTCTAAATATTTTTCATACATTTATATTTCTATTTATGATTTAACGAAGAGGTTTTCAACCACCGGTCTACAGGCCCATTTTCGGTTCGAGAACTGACGAATCATTATATATCATCATCATTCATTTATATGGAACTTATTTATTACAGAATTGGAAGCGTGAAAAGTTTGAAAACTCCTGTTTTAGAAAACCCTCAGAAGACTGAAACAAAATTTAGCTACTACTACTTACCACTAGGCACGTTATCGTATACATACAAAATATTATTTAGAGAGAAGCAATGAAAAAAATATCCAGATTATTTTGTTTGGTATTCCTATGGTCTGGACTAGCGCACAACAAGAATGGCAACGAATTTCATTGTTGATCGCGCCAAATGCAGAAAAGAAAACGAATGAATGCCTGGCATCAAATAATATTTTCTCTCTCTCGCTCTCTCTCTCTCTCTAAGGTCCTCATCGTTTCGTTTCGGTAACCAGACAGTAATCAGAAGCTGTCGATTCAACATATAGTGCATACGAATTCCTTGTTTCTTCCATTCAATGTTCAATTTGTCGTCGATGACAGTTGGTTGATCTTCAATATTTCGGCAACATTTGATAATGATATGAAGCTGATGAAAAAATTCTTTGTCTTTATCATTATTATCGTTATAACAATTTTGCCAAATACCATCTCAAACCTATTAACCAGAACTATTCACTATAGTGAAATTGATTCTTTTCTTCATTTGTTTGCATTGTTATCCATTAAAATCAATGGTGTTCAACATACATAAATATCTGGTTTTTTTCATCACTATTATTTCTTAATTTTTCTTCGCAATGGGCTTTTTTTCTTTTTGATTCTGTTAGCGGTTTTTACTATTCTTTTTTGATCTCTTAATGATCAATGTTATACGTGTGTGTCATAAGTTCCATTATGGAAAACATTTATTATGAAAAGTAGAATCATGATGAATCAGGATCATCATCGTCTGGTTTATATCTTTTGACTTTATTCAACATCGACTATCAACAACGATATTTGATTGCACATAAGAATTTTATGTTTGTGCATTATTATCATGAAATACTGAAAGAAAGCGAAACTATATTTGTTTCTTCTCTACACCAATCTTACTCTACTTTATTTTTACTCAGTTAAATCAAACAAATAGCCAGATTTTGGAATTCGAAACATCTTATTTTTAGAGTGAAAATTGTGATTTCATCAATTCCTGTTCAATAGTGGATTTTTTTTCCATTTTTATCCACATCATCATTTGGTTTAATTTTCTCTCATAAGTGTGTGTGTGTGGCATTTTTTTGAAAAAAATATCAATTTTTCCATCAAAAAATAATCAGTAAACTTAATAGCCAGATTCTACGACAAATAAAATCGCAGCAAATGAAAACAAAAATTTTAGCAGTTCAATTACTAAAATTGTTTGATATTTCGTTTCGTTTCGTTTCGTTTCCTTCTCTTCCTACTTCTAACAAAAAAACATAAAAAATGAAAAAAATATGTGAAAATAAATACAGACGAATAATTTTGATTATAGGATCAAAATGTCTTCTCATGTGGAAATTATCAAGGTTCACTGGGTGAAATTAGTCCAGGAAAACTTATAAACTAAAGAATCACTTAAGATCGAATCTAATTTGAAACAGTTATTGCATGAAAGAAAACTGATATATCTCAATATCGATTTTTTTTCACCTTTATTCTATAATTGCCTAAAATTATTGGTTAAATGTTCATGAATAACTATCAACATCTACATCATCAATGCTTACGTAACATTACGACGAATCGATCAAAATAAATCTGACTAATATTTATGTTAAATGACATTTTATATTGCTAAATCATCGAAATTAATCTACCATACATATTCCTCTAAATTGAGATCTGCAATAGTTTATCTTTGCCATTTACTATAATAATTATTATATCCTACGGACGTATTACCAATATAAAAACCGGAAGCATTGAAATATCAACTATTGAAATAGCATTTATTTTGTGAAACATTTCATCAATTTATATGTACAGTAACATTGATGATACCGATACATTAATGTTTTGCAAACAAATTACTGACAACTTCAACAACGATGAGAATGTTTCAATCAATATCTTTGAATTTCCTTTTCGAATTTTCTTGTCTGCAATACATTCTTCGATAATTTTTTTTCGTTTTTCCTTCCATCATTCTCATTATTATTATTAATATTATCATCATCATCATCAAAAAGGAAATTTTTTTTCTTTTGTTTAATTTCATTCATTTAATGGTGAAATTGTTGGAACAATTGATCATTAGTGTTCAAGTGTAAATTTTTTGTTTTTCATTTTTCAGTTGATCTTTTATAATTATAACCTCAACAGCAGCATTTTTCAATTCACCAATCATAGACTGTAACAAGATATTCTTGGAATCACCTTGATATTATTTTGTACAAATTTTATTTGAAACGGAAACTATCTCAACAATGGAAATCGATCAATCAATGGAAATTCGTTAAAAGATCATCAATAATTATAATAATTATCACTCTTTAGTGATCTTTGCAACTAAAGTGACACTTTCTTTTTCTAAACTAGTGAGATAATAATTCTATCTGAAAAAAATGTCAAGCATCGTGATTGTAATCAGTTTTTCATTATTGATTGTTGTTTCATTCTGTGGTAATACTCTAGTTTGTCGGACATTATTCCGACAACGGCGATTTTGTGCCAATTCAACAAACGTATTGATCGGAATGTTAGCCATATCAGATCTGATGATGACCATATTTAATATACCATTCACTGTTGCCGATATTATTCTCAATGATTGGATATTTGGTGATTTTGTTTGTATATTAGTATCATTTGTGCAAGCAAATTCTGTATATGTTTCAAGTTTTACAATGGCTGTGATTGCAATTGATCGCTGTAAAGCTATCTATAAATTTCGGCCTCAACAATCATCGAATGATTCAACAAATAATAATCATATCGCCAATAATGGTAGAAATATTAATGAAAATACTGGTACTTGCAATGATAATAGAGAAACGTCAAATAATAGACCTAATGGTGGTGGTAATGGTTGCTGTTGTCTGATGGATTGTTTCATTTTCAATATATCATGTCCTTTGATCAAATCAAATAATAAATCTGTTCATCTATCATCCTCGTCACAGCAACCACAATCAGAAACGTCAAAAACACGTACAACAAGATTTAAATTAGAGCTTAGAACCAAAATGATTTTGATCATATCGGCCATTTGGATAATGGCTGCATTACATTCGTTGCCACACACTATATTCAATCGTGTTACAGTGATTGAAATGAATAATATCGTTGTTGAATCTGGACTAACAAATACGAACAACAATAGAGCTAGTTTACATGAAAACAATCGAAAAAATGATTTTGAGCAAGGAATTGGGACGACTGAAATTGCCACCATTGAGGCCTTTGATGATTCCATTAGTATGGATTCTGATAAGAATAGTAACCATAAATATCCTAAATCTTCATCATCAACAACTGCAATGATAATGGAAACGAATCAAACACGAACAATAAGACGATGTATACCGGTAACGCCTACCTGGTTTGGGGCCAAATTTAGCCTTTGGTTGACATTATATACGACAGCTACACAATATATTATACCATTATCTTGTGCAGCAATTATCTACACAAGAATTGCCTTTACAATAAATTCCCAGGGTAAAGTCGGCCAGATGACCGAATCAAGAGCTGAAAAAATTAATAAACATAAACGTCGCCGTTTATTAATGTTAGCATTAATTGTGGCTATATTTGCTATTTGTTGGCTACCATTCAATGTTTATTATTTATTATTGGATTTCGGCATCACTAAATCATACAATCATACGGCATTCTTGTTCTGTCTTTGGTTAGCAACAAGTTCTGTATGTTATAATCCATTCGTTTATTGTTGGCTGAACAAAAGTTTTCGACAAGAAGCTAAAAATGTATGGAATTGTTTAAGTCAATTGTTTTCCTGTTTTTGTTGTAAAGGCGGACAGCAACAACAACAACAATCTGATCAGCAGTTACAAAATAATCAGATTCAATTTCAGCGACAAAGCCAAAATGATCATATAAAACGAAAACCACAATCATTAAATTTGAATGAAAATCAATGTCAACATCAAACTTCATCATCCTAACGTGAATGGAACACATCAGAATTGAATTATTTTATGGAAAAATATGATAATATTCTTTGTATTTTCTCATTATTGTCACCGTTATCACATTCCGAATCTTACATCCAAATTCCAATGTTCCCGTTTCTTTTTGTTGACTATTTAACTTATAAATGTTCTCTTTTTTTCTATATTATAAATGTTTATAAAATAAAACTATTATCAGAAACGCATTCTGTGGTATGTAGCTTTGACAAAGCTTTTTTTATTGTTCTAGCTCAGCACACTTTGCTGCAGATTTTGCATCCAATAGATGGTGCAGTCATTCAATAGAACATAGAAAGAGTTCGAATTCGAATTTTTCGAATTGATTATTGTGATAATACATGTGGCACGTGATTTTCATTTTGTGTGCCTGTGTGAGTGTGTATTTGATGATAAAATCTTGCCTGAAGACTGCATTCATTGGAATGATTTTTTCTGTGTTTTTGTTTCCATGATCTACTCATCGTTTGGTAAGTTATTTCGGTTATTTAACCTGATTATACCTAAAATACCTGATAACTTTTTTTCATAACTTTTTCATTTAAAATAAAGAAAATGGAGCATTTACGATATTACAGAAAGCCACAGCGGTTGACGATTCAATGTTGAGTGTCTTCATGCGATGAACCCACAAGGTTATCCTATAGGATCTATAGACACAAACTTGGATTAAACATTGGATCGATTATCATGTTCAGTCGCAATATTGAACCACAAAGTGGTTTGCTCAATGGCACGCGTTTATTTGTAAATAGACGCAGCATTGAAGCTCGAATATTGACAAGGAGGCTATGATTCATTTTGCAGCAAAACGATCGAGATCTTAAGCTACCATTTAAATTGGTTCGTGGACGATTTCCTGTCGTATTGGCTTTTGCTCTGACAATTAATTAATGTTTTAAGGAAAATCTTTCGATAAAATAATAATTAATGCAATGCACAAGTGATGGCTGACCCTGCGGTACCAAACCGAAGGCCGGAAGCAACACGCCGTGCATAGAAACCCACCGTCAGGCACGAAGCGTTAAAATTGACACCTTTGGCTGGGTACCTACAGGGGGGGCGGCGCCACACCTGCAGGTATCCAGCTATATTGACCGTCAAGGATTGATACCTTTGACTGGATACCAAGCAGGGGGGCGGCGCAGCCTGCCTGCGGGTATCCAGTTATATTGACCGTCAAGGAGTCAGCCCCGCAGGGCCAGACCAGGACAGGCGCGAAGCGCCTGTTCTCGGGCTGGTTATTATTATATTTGTAAACAGAGAATGCGCGTTGGCTTGGCGGTACACAGATGACGTGTTGGAAAAGGGGATAAAAAGACAGCGCTCACCCCATTGGAGATCATTCTATCATTATTGTTCGTTTAGTGCACATGTTATTTTATTGTATTAAACCTAAAAGTTAATTATTGTGTTTAAAATAAAGTCAGTTCTTCTACATCTTCCAATTGGTTTTTCGTACATTTTTACAGACCAGTAGGATGTAACCAACGTCCAATTCCCGAATGGATTTCCATATTTCGTACCCTACAACTGAACACCAACGAATTCAAACCATAAGTCCCATTTTCAAATAATTTAATATCCATATTTCTTTTTTTTTATTATTATCACTATGGTTGTTTCCCCGAGCTGAAAGTACGCTCGATTGCGGGACCAAACAACGCATCAAGTTGATGCGCCCAATAGATTCTATTTTCTTTCCTTGCTACCATCAAGTTCCACTCAAAAAGAAGAAAAGAAAACCAAACAGAAGATCCCAGATCCAAAGATTGACTGAATTCAGTGATCTCAATATTCTTTTCTCTTCTTCAAGATTAAAATTCCTTATTGGTTTGTTAACCAACGTGGAAAATCCTTCACACCAATTGAACAGACCGAAGACAGAGAAAAAGACAAACTCTTTGGTGACTTATTTTTCTGACTCATTCCTGACAATCAGCAACAAGCACTCTGTTGTGAACCAGTAACGCTCTCTTTGGTGACTCATTCCTGACAATCAGCAACAAGCACTCTGTTGTGAACCAGTAACGCTCTCTTTGGTGACTCATTTCTGACTCATTCCTGACAATCAGTAACAAGCACTCTGTTGTGAACCAGTAACGCTCTCTTTGGTGACACATTTCTGACTCATTCCTGACAAACAGCAACAAGCACTCTGTTGTGAACCAGTAACGCTCTCTTTGGTGACACATTTCTGACTCATTCCTGACAATCAGCAACAAGCACTCTGTTGTGAACCAGTAACACTCTCTTTGGTGACTCATTTCTGACTCATTCCTGACAATCAGCAACAAGCAGATATTTATTCGTTAACCACACAAAACAGCGCCACCAGTGGAAAACGAGAACTTTTAAAAAAAAAACAAAAAACACCGTCACTCACACAAGATGGGCGGACGGGTCCAATACCACGAAATCCACCTAATTTGGCAAAATCGTGACAAAAAAGAAAAAACGATCCATGAATTCGCCAACAACCAGAACCAAAAGGCAACTTGATCTTGAAGGAAAAATTCGTAATCTGGATGATGACTCTAGAACAGCGAAGCCACGTGAATCACGAAACCAGAATAAGCAGCGTCAGTTCAACCTCAACGATGATCAACCTCAACAACGACCATCATCATCATCATCATCATCATGGTGGTGGTACCAGTTTCTTTTCTTCACAATGACCTGCCCAATCAAGTTAACTACCCTGGCCGTAATTATATCACGTTGGACACGGATGGTCAAAGAATATACACAGCAAATCAGCCAGATTCGATATGTTCCAAGAAAAAAAAAGAGGCAACAACTTCTTGGCGGACGATGTCGTGGCCAACACCACTTGTCCATCTGCTGGTCTCTAACCCACAAGTGCTGCCAGATGAGGAAAGACTCAACAGAGCAATCACGCCGAAATTACCGATCCAATCGATGAGGCCATTTCCAGATTTTCAAATCGAGGAATCACATTACCTCGAATGTCGAGTTAACAGATCTGAACCGATCGTTTAGCGACCGAGGAGTATGAGAGTGACGCTGGAAAATCAGTGTACATTGACTTGAAGCTGAATAATAAATCTTGTGAAGCATTGGATGTTTTCGGTGATCAAATTCCAAAGGTGTTGAAAATTTCAATAACAAGCCAACCAACAACACGTCGATCGTCGGATAGCAGTGTGGAAGCGCTTTCATCGGACATGGTGTGACGGACATGCAGATCGTTGATGGTAACAATAGAACCTTTTTCTGTCGAGGAAGTTGTTACTCTACCAACAACGACACATCATTTTTTTTTAAAGAATGTTTGGCACTAGTTGAGGCGATTATTACTTAAGTCGCCGAAACTTCCCAGTTGACGTCACAAGATATCAAAGAAATACAAGTACCCATAAAAGAAACTGCACGTTGGAAGAAAAGCGAAAAGAAAAAAAAATAATTTCATTTTCCGATTACAAATAATAAAATTCATCACATCTAATTTTTCGATTACAAATAATAAATTCATCACAAATAAAAATAAAAATAAAAATAAAAATATAATTTTTCGATTACAAATAATAAATTCATCACAAATAAAAATAAAAATAAAAATAAAAATATAATTTTTCGATTACAAATAATAAATTCATCACAAATAAAAATATAATTTTTCGATTACAAATAAAAATAAAAATAAAAAATATAATTTTTCGATTACAAATAAAAAATAAAAATAAAAATAAAAATATAATTTTTCGATTACAAATAATAAATTCATCACAAATAAAAAATAAAAATAAAAATAAAAATATAATTTTTCGATTACAAATAAAAATAAAAATAAAAATATAATTTTTCGATTACAAATAAAAATAAAAAAAAATATAATTTTTCGATTACAAATAATAAATTCATCACATTTAATTTTCCGATTCACCAAACCACTAATTATAACAAACGTATATATCGAACCGAACACAAGATCAAACGAACACTTCGAACTCATAGCAGAAATCTTAAACACATTCAAAATCTTCCGCTGATTCTAGCAGGAGATTTCAACGCAAGACACCTGTTATGGCATGACACAATATCTAATTCGCAAGACAATCTTCTAGCTGACATAATCGATAACTTCAAACTTGACATACATAACGACAAACAACCAACATGCATACGACCTAACGGTAACAGCATAATAGATCTCACAAAGCCACAAACAACATTTCCGAATGGACCTCTAAACAACAATCGAACACAATTTTCGATCATGTATCCATCCTCTTCACATTCATTGCTCAACATCAAATTCCCAACAGAATAATTCATTCGACGCGCAAATTTAACGAAGATAAAGCCGACTGGCAGAAATTTAAAAATCAGATTAACCTATCCACTCCATTAATATGGTTATGTGAAAAAGATGGTTCTTGTATTGAAAAGATAAAAGAAGATAAATTTTCTGAATTGTAAATTAAAGCAGCGATATATTGTGGGCACTTCCTGTCAAACGAAGAATGATCAACACTAACTTTATTATCATTTGTTATATTCCATCGTGTACAATTATTGCACGAAAGTTGTGGAGTTGAAACAGTACATTCATTGGAAAAATGATCTCGATTACATTTTGAGCAAACAACTGAATTTCTACAATTATTTTTTACTATGTCCATAACGCAGACACTTTTGACATTGTAGAACTGAAATGAAATTTTTAACTGTACAGAATTTATGTCCAATAAATAAAGATGATAAGATGACGACAAGATGTCCAACAAACCAGAAGTTTCCACAAAATCATCAGATGTCAAATGTACCAAGATGTATATCACAATCAAAATTAGAAGATGTGCAAATAGAACAATCTGATGAAGAAGAAGAAATTATTGAAGATGGTGGCTCAGTACATCAAATAATAATGAAGCAATTGAATGCATATCCTGAGAACAAGTTGAAAACGTATATGGATGGAAATGAAAATTTACGACGTTATCCCGCACCATACCAAGGAAGATATTGAGGAGGGGGGATGTAAGGATGTACAAATCAAGGTTGCCAATGTGGAAGGTTTTTGAGAATGATACTTGGTAACAAGTATTTGCTGACCTAAACAGAGTAGCAGATTTAACAGG